CACGTGGCCATACAAAGTCTTGTATGCAATCTTTCATAGTAACATTAGTCATAATAGCACCAAAGTGGGAACAATTAAAAAGGCCATCAACTGGTACATGAATAAACAAGACATAGTATGTGCATACAGTAAAATATCATTCGGCTGTAAAAAAAGAATGGAGTACTGGTACACACTACAACTTGGATGAGACTCAAAAACAGTATGCCAAGTAAAAGAAGCTAAACAAAAAAGTCACATATTCACTCATATGATACATTTATATGACTTGTTCAGAAAAGGCAAATTTATAGAGAGGGCAAGCAGAATAATGGTTCTCTGGGTCTAGAGGTGGGAGCTGAGACTGACTGCAGATGGGTACTAGGGATCATTTTCCAGCTCATGAAAATGTTCCAAAACTGTATTGTGGTGATGTTTGCACAATTCTATAAATTCACTAAAAATTATTTAATTGTATACTTATAACTGGTAAGTTTATATGTAAATTATACCGCAATAAAGTCATTTTTTTAAAAATTCTACATGGAGTCTAACTGTATCTTCCAAAATTACTATTCCTTCAATAATCTCTGATAGTTTTTAAAATAAAACTTGTCCCTAATCATTCCTGCTCTGCAACCAATTTTTTAACTTCTAGTCAATTTTAATGCTCAGAAGTTTGATTCATTTTCTTTAATCTATATAATCAAGATGGCAATTTTGATAATGAGTTTATTTCATTCCCCAATAACCCAATGAGTTGATGTAATCAGGCAAAATGAATGATCTAATGACTCATACTGTAATACTACTTTACAAAGCTGTAATAATCCTAAAGCTCCTAAGTCTTCTGAAGAAATAAAAATACCACCTGTCAAATGAAATGATTTATACATTCTCTGGTATGTACAATATAAATCATTGTCTGACTCAGGCATGAAACCCACTTTTGCATCCTAAGTTTTTAACCCCTTTTTGCTCCCTTCACATAGAGAAAAAATAATTTACATTGCTTTTCACTAGCCTTGTTTTTTCTCCTTAAAATGTCACCCAAATAGCCCTGGCCAGTTTTGCTCAGTGGTTAGAGCATCAGCCCGAGGACCAATGAGTCACAGGTTCGATTCCGGTCAAGGGCATGTACTTCAGTTGCAGTTCAGTCCCTGGCCCTGGCTGGGGTCATGCAGGAGGCAACCAGTCGATGTGTCTCTCTCACATCGATGTTTCTCTCTCTCTCCCTCCCTCCCACTCTATCTGAAGATAAATAGAAAAATATCCTCAGGTAAGAATAAAAAAAATTTTTTTAATGTCCCCCCAAATATATAGCACCAATCTCTCCTCAGATCTCAGGAATAAAGACTTCCTCCAACTCATCTATTCCCTAAAACATGTAACCTAGACAAATAATAACTTCTATGTGTTCTCTGCAATGAATTTACTCTCGTAAGAGAAAAATCATGAACGACTTGTTCCTACAGTTGCTCTCTCTTAGATCAGGCACATTCCCAAGTTGTCGCCCTTCCTCCACTTTCTGCTCCATTTCCAAGTCTCACTGGCGGCTTCTCAAGAAAGGGCCCTGATGGTAGGTCATATTCCATCAATCTCACTTCCATTCAATTTTTAAAAAGAGAAAAAGGATTCTCTCAATCTGTGGTTTGCAGTACAAATCTTGAAATTATAAAAATATGTATGTATATGTAAATATATTTATAAATATATAAACAAATGCAAAGATTCAGTGTCAGTTTTTAGGCCTCAGTTTCATTATAAGCATCTTCTTTCCCATATATTTCTAAATGTTAAATTCTGGGAAAATTAGTTATAACTGAGTATTCATTACATTTTTTTAAAGTACATATAGGTAGATTTTTTTTTTTTATAGCCAACTCTTATCTGGCCTAACAGGAGTCTATTTAAATTAAAAATTAAATCAGAGTCTGGCCAGTGTAGCTCAGTGGTTGAGCATTGACCCAGGCACCAAGAGGTCACCGGTTCGATTCCTGGTCAGCACACATGCCCAGGTTGTGGCCCTGATCCCCAGTGGGGGGCATGTGGGAGGTAGCCAGTCGATATTCTCGCTCATAGATGTTTCTATCTCTCTCTCCCTCTCCCTTCCTCTGTCTCTAAAAATCAATAAAGGAAAAAAAAATTTTTTTTAATTAAATCAGAGTCTATTTAACAATGTCTATTGAATACCCATTAATTAACAGGCCCTAGATATTTAGGGACAAATGAGGTACAGTTTCTGCCTTCAAGAAGTTCATAAGCTGTTGGGAAAGAATGAATTACAGCTACATATAAATCAGATTGAAATAAGTACCACAATATGTATTTTTCAAAAAGCTAAGGAAACAGAAGTTGCAACTTTAGGAATAACTAAATATTTCAAAGAGTTGACTTGACAAAAAGAAACTAACGCTTCAACTGAACCACAATGGGGAAAGTAGGTAGCAATAGAATCCTGGGGAGGAGCCAAGTGAGGTGAGGTAAGGCTGTTGGATCAGTTGAGGACATATTGGGAGACCAGCCTACAGTCTGATTAAGTTAATAATACTAGCTAATACTCACTGAGCACCCATTCTGGGCCAAATACTTTTCTAAACACTTTACATGTATTAACTTATTTGACCCTCACAACAACCCTCTGAGGAATTTACTATTATTCCCATTTTATAGATGACAAAACTGAGGTATAGAACAGTTAAGTTACCTGTTCATGGTTACACAGACACAGCTAAAAGTATGGAACCAGGAACTTGAAGTCCATAAGTAATAAAAGAAAACCAAATTCCCTCACCTCTAACAACACTCATTACAAAAGTAGTTACCGGGTATCTTAACTACCCCCTTTTTCATTAATTTCTAGGCCATCTTTCTCCATAAAGCCTTCTTTGATACCCCCAACTAAACATCTCTTTCTTCTCTAAGCTTCATAATACTTTATCTGTTTCGATCTTATGACAAGTCATATTTTGTTCCTGACATTACAGATTTTATGTATCATTCTTTTTTATTTTCCTTTAGTCTGATCCACTTTCTATTCTCCACAACCCCTAAGACAGCGCCTGGCACATAATAATGTAACTAAATCTATGGAGCACCTATTTGTTGCAAGGCATTGTGCTAAGTATTTTATAGGCATTATTTTACAAAATAATTACAGCAATCCAATTTACAATAGCTATTTTTTCTTTTAATTAGGTTTTTTTTTTTTTACAGATGTCCTTCCTTTTCCCCCCATTGACATCCTCCCCTGCTCCCCGTTCATTATACTGTTGTCTGTATCCATTCATTGGTTATGCATGGTTACACATGCATAACAGCCCAAGTGTCCATCAATAGATGAGTGGGAAAAAAAGCTGTGGTACATTTACACAATGGAATACTACGCAGCTGTAAGAAAGATCTCTTACCCTTTGAGAGAACATGGAGGGACCTGGAGAGTATTATGTTCAGCAAAATAAGCCAATCAGAGAAAGACAAATATCACTTATTTGTGGAATATAATGAACAAAATAAGCTGATGAACAAAATAGATCCAGAGACATGAGAATAGGGAATAGACTGACAAACCTCAGAGGAAAGGGGGGTGGAAGGGCAGGAAGAGATAAACCAAAGAACTTATATGCATATATGCATCAACCCATGCACCAAGAGGTCACCAGTTTGATTCCCAGTCAGGGCACATGCCCAGGTTATGGGCCAAATCCCCAGTGGGGGCATGCAGGAGGCAGCCAATTAATGTTCTCTGTCATCAATGTTTCTATCTCTCTCTCCCTTTCTCCCTCTCTAAAAATCAATAAAGGTAAAAAAAAAAAAAAAAAAGATATGGTCTCAGCAAGAAGCTTACAGTCTAGGGAAGTTGGTACTATTGGTATCCCCAAGTATAGAGATAAAAATGAGGCTCAAAGGATTTAAGTAATTTGTTTGCCCAGAATCACATAGCAAAAAAGTGGAAGAGCCAGAATTTAAACCCAGTCCTCAACTTTTTGAGAGGAAAGCAAGAAATGAGCAAAAATGCATATGTACCCTAATACATAGGTGGTAGCTCAGAATTGCTAATCAAGCCATCAGTTGAAGAGCTTAGGTGAGCATTGGATTCCCTGTATCTTTCAAAGTGGTCCCTCCGAAGCATCAGTGCTTTGTTGCAGGCAGGATGGTTTAGAGGGGTCACTAATAAGCAATGAGACCCTGGGCTACATCTATCAAATATCTGAATGGAATGGTGTGGAAAGTAACAATGCACAATTCCTTACTTAAACGTGGTTCAAAACTATTCTTAAAAAATGGGTTCAACTCACTCAAATGTGAGTTCGTACTTTCCACTGGAGGGGTGAGGAAGCTGCCATTTGATTACAATTACACTACACACAACTCGGGCGCCCCTCTGGCCCTGTGGGCCAGAAATACCTGCCTTCTGAATGATGGCTGAACGTCCCACAGTCCACAGCCCGCTGGCCAGACTGATTCCCTTCTCCAAACGCCACCTTGGCAGCCGCACTGTTTGGCCTATCCTAGCCACCTCCTCAAATAAAAGTAGCAACATCCCAAAATATTGACCAGGCAGAGAGAGGCAACCGGACACACGAGTCTCATTCCCACAACTTCTTATCCCAACAGGAGACCACCTGACTTTAGACCAAGTTCATTCATCACGTTAAGCAGCGGAGACGACCTCCAAGGCACCACCCAGGCCCTGGGGCTCCTCCGACAGCGCGCACTAGCCTCCTCGGCTGCGGGTTGGACAGACCAAGGCAACCCGCACGCCCCAGACGCCGAACCGCCCCCAGAGCTCAGTCTTTTGCAAGTCTACTTGCGAAAAGGGGCAGTACGCAGGAGGCGTGTCCAGCGTAGGACGCGCGCCCCGCCTCCCGCCACCCGCCAATGGCCTGCGTCCCACCGCCCCGCTTCATTTCCCTCCACCCTTCTGCTGCGCAGGCGCCTGGTGCTCCAGGCCCAGCCCTCCCCCTCTGCTTGAGCGCCAAGCGCATGCGCTTTGAGAGATGGGCCGGGGGAGACGGAAATGGGAGGGGTCAACGCACACCAGTTCGCTCCTGACCCGGCCGCCTGGATTGCGCGTTGGGGGTGGGGCTAGGGGCGCTGGTCGCTGGGGTGGTTGAGGCCCTGGCCCCGACCCGGAGCTGGAGCCGGTCGCGGCGGCTGGCTGACCCGCTGACCCGCCCTGTGTGTGTGTGTCACCCTGTGTGTATGTGTGTGCCCGCTTAGGCAGACATGGAGAACTGTTTGGCGGCCGCGGCGCTGAACGGGGTGGACCGGCGTTCCCTGCAGCGCTCGGCTAAGCTGGGTCAAGAAGTGCTGGAGCGGGCTAAGAGGAGGGCGGTGGACTGGCGTTCCCTGGAGCTCCCCCAAGGCAGCGTAGGGGTCTTTTCCCCGGAGCGGCCCTACCGAGAAAGATGGCCCCCAGCTGGCCCCCAGCGCCTTCTCCCAGGAGAGGTGAGGGCCCCTGTGCTGGGGACCAGCCCATTCATTCGCGCAGCGGTGGCTTCCTGGGCATGTGGCTCGGGCCACGCAGAAGCACCTGAGGGATCTTGCTCTTGGTGGATGCTGTGAAGCATCAGAAGAGTGAACGGAAAAGCCCTTTGAAAACTCGTGGCATTTGACCGATCATTAGTGGATAGCTTTAGGATGCTGCCAGTGCTCGGCCCTGGTTGGTTACTTTTTTTTTTTTTAAGTCTTACATACTACCATCTGATGTTCGAGGAAAGCCCGCAAACCAGTCTTTGTCCTGGGTAAATTGCATGTCAACGTATTCCTTGTAGAGTTGGAATTCTTTCTCACTAAGATCCTTCTTATTGACTTAAACTTTCTGAGCCTTTAGAAAAGTAAAAAGGAAGCTATTCCCCCCAATGACTTCATTCTCCAGTAGGGAATACCAGATCTCACCTGTGGCTTGCCATTTATTCAAATAGAGAGAAGAAAGACGCCCAACCCTCAGTGCTTCCTTCAGAACAATAGCAGAATTCATGGACTATACTTCAAGTCAGTGTGGGGTAAGTTAATGTAAACTGAAGCCATCACCCTGATCTACCTGGTGATGGATCACAAGGTGGATCTTTGTGGAATTTAGGGAGAATTTGGAATCTACCAGTTCAGTCTTTGTGGGCGGATTGTAATCATTCAAGGATTTAAACCAGGTGATAAATCCAAGTTAGAATTCATTCAGTACATATTTATTGAATACCTAATTCAGTAAATGTTACTGAGGATACAGCTGTGAACAAGTCAGAAAAGGTCTCTGCCCTCACTATTATTTTCAGACTAGTAGGAGGAAAAAAGCTTATTTGCTGAATTACAAAACAATCAAGTCCAATTATTCGGAGTTTTTTAAACTTTGACGTGAAGTCTTAAAAAAATCAGTAGGGTCATTCTAAACTGGAACTGAGCCTCTGTTTTCAAAATGTATTGAAACAAATCCCTACATTAGAATTTAACCTCAGTTTCAAGTCCCTGGTAATGTAGTTTTAAGTAGATCCCTGTGGGTCTGGATCGCCTGATGGCCACAAAGGTGGTTCTGTGGAAGAGTGCAGCACCCTCAAGGGAAGAGGTGTGGTCCTGGCAGGAGCAGCCTCCCAGGAATCAGATCCATGTTCTGACATATCCTGGCTATAATGCTTTAGGCCAGTTAGTCTCTCTCACCCTTACCTTCCCTGTGGAAAAAATGAAGATGAGGGGCAACCCACAGCTACACTCGTCTCGGACCTCGGGAATGGTTGTAAGGATGCTTGGTCTATAAGGGAGAAGGAAGAGAATACCTTGTTTCTGTCTTGCTTTTCAATTTCATATGTTAAGGTCTCAAAAATCTCTAATCCTTCTACATCTTTTATAGAATCCCTGTGGCTCTAAGAACAGAATTCCAACCAATGAGATACAGTTCAGAGAATATTTTTATGTTCTTATTCTGTTAAATGGTTTTAGAAAAGTTCATAACTTCTACTGTAAAGTGATCAACTTAAACTTTGGTTCATGGCTCAGTAAAAGAAATAATATTTGTCTTTGGTTTGAGGCTAGCAAATTGGTGTTCATTTTGGTTTTCAGTTCAAGTCTCCGCTATGGAATGGAGCCTCAGAACGCCTTGGCTTTCCGAGATAGAATTAAGAACAGTAGTCTGAGTTTGCCTTCACAGTTTTGAAGCAGCCCCCAACTTACATCATTAGATCCATGTCTTGAAGTGCTTTACCCAGCGTCTTATTCTTTTGGTCTCATGCTTTAAACACTGTCTCTACATTGTATTCAAAACAAGCTGGCCTGTGATGTCCTCATCATTAGTTATAATGAAGGGCAAGTCTAAGGTTAACTTCAAGGGGAAAAAGGAAAAAGGCAAGAAAAATGTAACTGCTTTCTGATCCCTTGGATTATTCTCTTTAAATTGGAGACCTCTCCTCCGCAGGGGAGAACGGCTGCATAGCTGTTGGGTGTTTGGTACATTTCCTGTTGTATTTCCAAATCTTAAGGAGATGCATCCCTCTTTTTCCTTGTCCATCTCTGAGATGTAGACAGTAAACATGGAACTGTTCTTCAGAACTTGTCATGAGAGGAGGTGAAAGGACGTGTGTATTAGACTTGGGGGTACAGACATGAAATTTATTTAACCTGGCAGAGAGCATGGTCCTGGCCCAGCCATAGTTGGCCAGAGTTCTTGCCCTGCAGAGGCAGCAGATGGCAGCAAAGTAATGCCAAATGCGGTTTCCTTCTCTGCAGCCACTTTCCATGGGCTGAGGTTTGTTAGATGACTTCAGAGGCTTGTCAAGTTGACAGTTGATTTACCTTTGCTCTTTTGTTTCCCTTCTTAACCATATTTTGCCCAAGTAACAGTTTTATGAAAATTTAACCAGACTATTTGGTTACTCAGCATCTTTCATGTTACTTCTCTAGAAATATTATTCATCTGTGCCAGAGGAAGGAGGGGCAACCCACGTCTATCGTTATCACAGAGGGAATTCACAGCTGCACTTGTGCTCGGATCTGGGGAATGGTCAGGTGTGTATCCTCAGCTCTCCTGTGCTGTGGCTCAGCCTCCCAAGATGGGAGACCCCATGTTCGGGAGCTCCTGCTGGATCTAGATTGGGTACCCAAATGACTCAGCATTACAGTGCTCAACTGAAATGCATCAACCCCCTGTCTCAGAGAACTTACAGCAGTGAACATGAAATAGGAGTTTATCCAAAATATAAGATTGATGCTATTGTGGGATCTTCCGTTGAACCTGCAATCCTGGGCCATGGGATTCTTGGGCAGATTTAAAGAACAGAGCTTCAAATATTCTCTTCTACGTCCAGGGGTAGGAAAGAGATTCTTTTCATAATCACTTATTTTACTCTAAGATAGTGATACCTATCATGGCTTTGGTAATTTTAAAAAAGAAAGTGCAAGGAAGGGATCGCTTGTAACAAAATACTTTTCCTAAAGATAATAACAATCACAGGCCTCTTGCTACAAACTTACCTGTTTTTTTATCACATGCCCTTCTGGAGAGGACAGATACTCTACTTATTGAACTGGTTCAACAGAAATCCTTTGTTGTTGTTTTTAAACTCCCCTGTTGTACTCAAAAATAGCAAACTGAAGTCCAGCATCTAATCCACAAGTTGGATTTCTGGCTTCTCTGGCCTGTGGGTTTACGGACAGGATGGAAGCGCGGCCACAGGGACACGCATGAGAGCTGGATGCACACTGAAAGTCCCTCGTTTCCCTGGCTTGGGGTGTGAGGAGCAACACCACAGCCCAAACCCTGGCCCCCCTCTTCTGGCCAGACATGCTAAGGGGCTACATGTGGGCGAGTCATTCCTATCCCTCCCATTCTTTCCTATAAATGTAAGTCGGTGCCTCTAAGGGAAATTGACTTCATCAGTTCAGCCCGTTTCCCTCTAGCACCCCTACTCCTGGGACAAGCACAGAAGACAGCTGTATTTCCTGAGAGCCTATTAAGCGTCAGTCACTTCTGCACTTTAAATCTTCCCCTCGGTGTAGTATCCTCCTGTTATAGACCAGGAAAGCAAGGCTTAGAGGAATTAATCTGTTCCTCTCCGTAAATAGCACACGTAAGTTTCAGATTCAGGTTTATCTGATTTCAAAGCCCATGAAAGATAAAAAGTAATAATGGTAAACATCTAACTAAAAACATCTCACAGGCCCAGCCGGTGTAGCTCAGTGGTTGAGCATCGACCCATGCACCAAGAGGTCGCCAGTTCTATTCCCAGTCACGGCACATGCCCAGGTTGTAGGCCAGATCCCCAGTGGGGGGTATGCAGAAGGCGGCCAGTCAGTGTTCTCTCTCATCGAAGTTTCTATCTCTCCCTCTCCCTTCCTCTCTCTAAATATCAATAAAGAAGAAACAAAAAACACCTCACAGAATTCACTATAGAAGCCTTAAAAATTTAGGTGACAACTTGGAAAAAATGAACAGAATTGTTAGTTTTTCATAAAATAGGAGAAGATTTCTCTTTATAATCCAGAAGTCAGCCTGCGCACTAAACACTGTTTCTACTGTCTCCTCAGAGAAAAGAAATGTCCCTTGGTTTTGGAGGCATCGGTCAGGCCAAGGAGTGTGTGCTGGAGGCACCCCAGCCTGTGAGTACAGAGCTCCTGGTGCCCCTGCACCGGGTTCCCACTGTGGCCATTGCATGAACCAGTTGACCTGGTTGTTGTAGGGTTTCATGTTGGGATGTTTTTATCCTTGTGGAGAGCGCACAGCACTGTGGTTTGGTGTAGAACTGTTTTGTTAGCCTGACTTCACTGGAAGCCTCAGGGATGCTTTGTGCCTGAACTCATAGTTGTGGTTGGAAAGAATGTGAAGTATTCACATCTCAGTTCCTACAGCTCAGCTGGGCTGGCGCAGGGTCCTGCTGGAATTCCACCATCTGTTCCAGCAGCAGGAGGGGCCTGACCCTTGTGCTTACAAAGTGAATACCATGGCCCACATTCTGAAACATATACATTTGGTTAGATCGGGTTCCAAAACATTTGAAGGGATTTGTTCCCATTTTCCACTAATGTTTCTCTGTAAAAACATATAGGGATCAGTTTCTCATTTTCAGGATAAAGGACTCATTAGTTTATAAACTCAGGAAATCTTTTGGAACTTGTAAGGGCTGGAATTCTGAGGAAAGGAATTCCAGCATGTTGCTGTAATAATTTGCTTATTTTTGTTTGTATACAATGTGCTAGCCAGCATTCATAATATACTAGTGTTAGTAGGAGCTACGAATATTCTGCTTCTAGGACAAATACAAGCTGTTAGGCTTAGATGCCTCCAACACCTGCTGGATTTTGGTAATGCTAATCTTCCAGATGTTCACGACGTTGGAAGCACAGATGGCGGTCTTACCCCCAGTGTTTCCTTTTATTCAGATAAATGAGGCATCCTTGACTTTCTGCAATTCTGATATAGTTATATTTTCTGAAACCTACTTTTATTTATTACATAGTTGATGACCAATAAATAGCGTGGCATTGTCCCATGCATTCACATCAGTTAAATAATACTGGACCTCTGGTTTTGCAATAACTGCGACAAACATGAAAGGATATAACATAAAGCCGCTTTGGAAAAAATTGGCTTCAAATCTGTCATGTGGAGGGGGAGGAAGTTTTATAAAAGCATAAATATTATTATTTATCCTCCTAGTGGAATTTGCTGGCCAGTGGTTTGGTCTCCCCGACCCCGGTTGTGGTGGTGGAAATGACAGCTTCCGCCTGTGGCTGTGTCTGAGCACTGAGCAGGCATGAATGGTGTCCCAGCTGCAGAACAAGAGCCTTGGGTCTTCATGACCGGCTCTTTTCTGGTTTGCGACTCTCCTCTTTTGCCATCTGAGCCAAGACCCCCTCCTCTGCTTGCACACCTGCCATGACCCACTTTCCTGCTCATATAGTATTCACAGCTTTAGGAGAAAAGAAATGTTTCATCGTCTTAAGGAGTTTAGCAAAGCACAGTGAAAAAGAATGCTTCTCATTATTCCAAGGTGCTTCGCTAATCTGTGCTAGCAAGTATCACTGTCTACTTTGATCCCCAAAACGATGTCCTTCGCCTTCCCCTGTACCTAATTCTTATCTTTTACTTCATCGTGCTTTTATGATCCTTCATGTTCCTATAACACAAGCATGTACACTGTGTTTTCACACATGAAGTAGGTATTACCACAGTCTTAGAAATAAGGAAACAAGCATAAAGAGATGCTGAGACTTACCTAAAGGATAGTCCTATCTTGTGGCTGAGACTTGGAAACAGGACTTCCATCTCCCACATTAATGCTTCATTCCATCCGGCCTCTGGCACACACACAAAGGTAGCCTGGTGGAGGTGATGAGGGTATTGGGATATAAAACCTCTAAGCTGCTAACATCTGTTTTCCTTCCAGGCTGAGGACATCTCTAAGGACCTCTACATAGAAGTCTATCCAGGCACCTATTCTGTCACTGTGGGTGCAAACGACCTAACCAAGAAGACTCACGTGGTGGCAGTTGATTCAGGACAAAGTGTGGACTTGGTTTTCCCCATATGATGTTGATCGTCACTTTACCTTTTTTTAAGTAGCAAGGAGAAAGAATAAAGCCACTATACGATTCTTATAATATTTATACATTAATCCTGCTCTCGGGGCTGACTGTAAAGGGTCAGCTTCCCTGGGCACTGGAGCTTGTCTCTCTCGGTGCCTATTTTAACCTGAAAGTGCAGAAGTCTTCTCACCCTCTTTTGCCTGAAAGTAATAATGATGCTGCCTGAATAGTTTTCTACTGCTTGCTTTCCAAGTAAATGTTAATTATGATAATAAAGGGAGAGATTTGGAAATAAAGAGAATTCCTTTTTATTGGTATGAAGAGCAATAAAATGTCATTCGTGTACAACTACAGGCTTTATGAAAAGGTGTCAGAGGGTCTATGGACACATTTGCCCAAAGCAGGCCGACCACAGCCTGTAACTTCTGTGAACAGCATCCTCAGGCTCAGCTCAGCAGGCAGGGAGCCCTGGCCAGGGCCCGCAGCACTCCTGCGCCCCTTATGACAGGTGCCTCCTGCCGCCCATCGCCAGGGATGTCTCAATGGGGTGAAGATGCTGCTGCTTATTCAACGGTCATCTGTGGCCTGCACTTTACTCCATCCACTGAAGGCTTTGCCATCTGCTTTAACTCTTCCTCAGGTATTCACTCACTCTCTTTAACTTCCTGTAAGAGAAAAAATCTTGAGACTTATGCTGACTGTAATTTTAAGGATCAAAAGTCACTGATTTAAAAAGTCAGCCTGGCCCTGCCCGGTTTGGCTCAGCAGTTAGAGCGTCAGCCTGCGGTTCAGAAAGACCTGGGTTTGGTTCCTGCTGGGGGCATGTGCCTCAGTTGCAGTTTGTCCCCGGCCCTGGTTGGGTCGTGCGGGTGGCAACCACTCGATGTGTCCCTTTCACGTCAATGTTTCTCTCTCTCTTCCTCGCCCTGCTTCCCACTCTATCTGAACAAAAAATGGAAAAGTGTCCTCAGGTGAGGATAAAAAAAAAAGTCAGTCTAGCCAGTGTGGCTCAGTGGATTGAGCGTCGTCCCATGGACTGAGAGGCCCTGGTTCGATTCCCGGTCTGGGCACATGCCCGGGTTACAGGCTCGATCCTACTAGGGGTTGTGCAGGAGGCAGCTGATTGATGTATCTCTCTCACAATGATGCTTCTATTTCGCTCTCCCTTCCCCTCTCACTAAGAAAATCAATAAAAACATATTTTTAAAAAGTCGTAAATGTGTCCTTCACTCTTAAGCTGCCACGCCAACAGAACTGCTGCAACTCTCAGTTTAGTTGTCTGGTCATTCATCTCATTTGGAGCATAACACATCTTTTCTTAGGAAAATATGCCAGTATTTTATATGCTGAGACAAAGCTTTAAGGAGCGCAATCTTAGCGCTCCTAGTGAGGAACAGACTCCCATGGGCATGGGGCCTAGGAAAGCAGACCATGCCCTTCACCAAATAGAGGGTCATTTAAATGGGGAGCCTTGTACCCCCAAGACCTTTGTGGATTCTGAAAGCCTTTTGAAAGTATATACAAAATTATGGGAGCCCTGGCCAGTCTGGCTCAGTTGGGCATTGTCGTGTGCAGCGAGTTTTCCAGTTTAATTCCCAATCAGGGCATGTGCCTGGGTTGCAGGTTCTATCCCTGGTTGGGATGTGCACGGGAGGCAACTGATGGATGTTTCTCTGTCACATGGGTGTTTCTTCTCTCCTTAAAATCAAAAACATTTTTTTTTAAATTGTGGGTATGTGCTTTTTTATAGGAAGAGCCGCCATGGGTTTTATTTTCAAAGGGGGTGTGACCCCAAAAGGTCGAACCATGGAAGGAGTCCTTAAGAAGCCCCTTCTCACACAAGATAGTTACAAAATAGTCATGGGGATATAATGTACAGCATGGGGAATATAGTCAAAAATATTGTAATAACCATGTATGGTGCCAGGTGGGTACTAGAATTATCAGGGGATCACTTTGTAAATTTTATAACTGTCTAAGCACTATACTGTACACCTGAGGCTAATATTGAATATCAGTTGTAATTGGGAGGTGGGGGGAGGCGGGCAGCAGCCCCTTCCCAGACTTGCTACTTTACCTAGGTCCTCAGGGCTTTTAGTCTAAGGCATTGTGGTGTCCCCAACATGTCCCCGTGGTGCCCTGACTCAGTCTTCCGTGCTCAGCTGAGTCTGGCAGGGTCTGCAGAGGCTTCATGCTGGTTGCTTGCAGGACCAGCTCCTTGGCATTCCCCACCACTGCCGTTTGTTCTCTCTGTTGTTTGTGGCCCTTCTCTTTCTGGATGTTGCAACATCTTTTGCCTAAACCCAAAATTCAGTGAGGTATGCTGACTATGCCACATTGTGATAGGATGAGTCTTGATGACTTAAGTACAACTAGACCAAGGATCACAGAACCGTCATTAACTGTAAGCTCCTAGCTCTGTTCTCTATTTTTAAAGAATAAATAAATTTTGTTAATAATTTCTGGCTATTATGCTTTTGAGAAAGTTTGTATCTGATCACCAGATTTGGAATTGGGTAGAAGTTACCAGCTATACTTTTCAAAACAGCCAGTAGGGGAAGCAAAGGTAACCACCACCAGTTAAAGGAGCTTATAAATCACACTGATCACAAAGGAGAGATCATAAGCTGGTAAAAAAACAAGTTATCAGAGGTTGAATGAGGCCATTAAATAAAATAAAGGAAGAAACACTTTAAAAGAAATCCATCCCCGCCCTGACTTTCAGAACTACAGACAATCCTGTTTCAGCTGTAAGCAGGGGAACGTAGCCACATGGCTGCTGACGGCCAACAGCCTGGCCTCTCCAGGATCGCTGGGTTAGGATCAAACAGGAACCTCACTGCCTGTAACTGAAAGTATCAAAACGTGTGGAGGGCAGAGGGATCCCTAAAGAGGATTGTTAGAGGCAGAGCCTGACACTGTCAACTTGAATGGCTACCAAGCACAGCCAGGAGACCCCAGCAGGACACATGCCCAGGTTTTGGGCTCAGTCCCCAGTAGAGGTGTGTGCAGGAGGCAGCCAATCGGTTTCTCTCACACATGGATGTTTCTATCTCTCACTCTAAAAAATAAAAATGTGCCAGTGTTGGGCACAGTTTTAGGTGTGTCACCATCACAAGTTAGCTGTGACATGTGGTACCCCATCTGTGACAAGGGCTGAGGAGGGCCCCTTTCTCCACACCCCATCCAGGCATAGCCTCCACAGCTTTGGTTGCAGGGTTGGGACCTGGCAGAAGACAGGTCCAGCTCCAAGAATTACCTTTGCCTGGAGCAACAAACGATCCACTAGCTAAAGGGGAGTCAGGCCAAGTACCCAAAGATACTATATTTCTCTTTATATAGCCAATTATTATAATTTATTCTGGGGGAAAAAAAAAACTTTGCAATGGAGCCCTGGCCGGTTTGGCTCATTGGTTAGAGTGTCGGCCCAGGGTCCAATGAATGATTCACAGTTCGATTCCGGTCAAGAGCATGTACCTCCGTTACAGTTGGTCCCCGGCCCTGGTCGGGTTGTGTGGGAGGCAACTAGTTGGTGTGTGTCTCTCACATCGACGTTTCTTTCTCTCCCTCTCTCTCCTTCCCACTCTATCTGTTGATAAATGGAAAAATATCCTCTGGCGAGGGTTAAAAAACCCACAAAACTTTGCAGTGGATTTGTGTAAATGCGGTAATGGGGAGAGACTGAATGTAGGGTTAGGTAACTGGGCAGTAGAGATAAAGCAGTGTGTGCTTAGGGCCAGGGACCCAATCAGGTTTGGAACGAACCCAGAGAACACCATGGAGCATAGGGAAGGCTGCATCACAGTAGGAAGGCAGCACTGGGGGCACAGCTGACCACCCCGCCCCCGCTGGTTACCCCACTGGCTGTCCTCTCGGTGAGGCTGGTCTGGGGCTGTCTCAGTGGCTCCCTACAATCCCTCTGTAGGTACAGCTTTTCTTTCTCCTGGCTGTGGAGAATTTAGCATGAACACTCCAGATTTGGGCAGATCCGGTAGAAAAAGTTGTGTCTAAGTAGCCTGGCCAAGGCCTCCCGGTGAGATGGGAATGGCCCTTCCCAGAGGCGCAGGAACCTCCCCCAGCCTTTATTCAGGTGTCAACGCGGGTCTACAGTCGTGGCCATGTGAAACACAGTTTATTCTTGTAGTATTAATGTTTGTATTATTTATTTGTATTGTAACTGAAAACCTACTTTTGCCCACCCCTATTTCTGATACAAAATTTCTTCAGACAGGGAGGAAGAGCTCAGCTGGTCATGGCTAGATTTTTGTCCCTTCAGCTACTTCCGTCTCAGAAGTGGGAGAAAGACCCCACACATTTGAAAGCCAAGAAAGGGCTGGAACCGTCTTATAAAGTACAACAGCAGCGGCATATCCCTCCGCACCCACCCCAGAGCCCAGGGGTCCGGTGGAGACAACCAAGAAAATGTCTCACTGTTGAAACAATTTCTCAACCTTCTGGAGCTGAGGACTGATAAAAAGCAAACAAACAAACAAACAAAAAACCCTTATCCTTGGGGCAAAATCCCGTGGCTCAGGGGTCCTTCCGGCTGAGCAGCTGTTCTGGAAACAGGGTGATGTTTTCAAACGGGACCCACTCGGGTCCCGATGTGGGTGGTGTCTAGCAAGCCTCACGCTTTCGGCACTGGTATTCAACCCTCACATCATCCCTGCCCAGACTCAACATGCATTGAGTTCACTGAATGTTAAATTGGGGACCCCAGGACCCAAGAATCTAGGGCTGGGCTTATCCAAGCCACTTCCATCATATAGCCCTGCCCGCTGGCAGGCGTCTTGCTGTCTCGGGGCCCCTTTGGGGATTAGGTAGGGTGGACATGAGCCGCATCAGTGAGCTGATGCTCCTAAATCTAGGCGGGCGCAGCGCACAGTTCTTAGCTCCAGAGAGGCTTGGGGGTGGCTGCGCATCGCCAGCAGTAGCAGGGCCTCGCTCTGAGCAGTAGGGAGGGAGCAGCACAATGCAGTGCAGGCTTCTGACTTATTAAGGGGCCCCTCTGAAGGGTAGGGCCTGATGACCAATGTTTAAAATATAGTTTCTCTGCTTCTCAGGGTGTTGGAAACTAATCAACACCTGCAAGCATTTTGACTGTTCATCCAGAGAAAAATCAAGGCCTCCGAGAATAAAGGGGGGTGCAGGTAAAAACAAACAAAGCAGTGCCCGTCAGGAGAGACTGGCGAAGAAAGGTCAGCTGTTCAATAAGGATGCAAACCTTTGCACAAAGATCAGCCCATCCTTCCTTTCTGGGTTTTGCTGCTTAAGTGGAAACCGACCATTTCCCTCTTATCCCAGACTCCCCTTCAACATGACCACGGGCCTAGGTTTTGCATCCAGTCCCAGCTCAGTGGTCACGTGGCTCAGATTCCCAGGAGCCAGGGCAGGAGGCAGGGGCCTCGGCCTCAGAGGAAGGTATACCTGGCGTCCCCCAGAGGCGGAGGCGGCTCGGGCCCGCTCCTCCTCCAGTACCTCCACTCCGGCCGGCAGAGGCCGCCCCGCCTCCTCAGAGTCCTCTCCCGGGGTCCCGGGTCTGCGTTGACTGTGCTGTCCACCACCAGCCTCTGGGGGAGGCCCGCCCCCAGACCTTTCTCCAAATCCTCTTCAGAAGAGGCTACAGTGATGGGCATTTGCACGGCTAATTCCTCCTCTTTGGGAGCCTCTAGGGGCAAAAGCTGTGCTGTGGGCTTCAGCTCTGCCACTGGATATTCTCTGGTGTTGACCCCCGAGGTCCGGGTTAGAGGCCACCAGGTGGTTCCAACCAAAGGGCAGCAGCTGGGGCAGCCCTGGCACAGCAGCTGGCAGCAGGCGTGGGGGTGGCAGAGAGGGCACAGGAATGGGGTGCCCAGTGGAAGCCGGTCGGTGACCCATCCAGTGCCTGGCCCCAGCAGAGAGCAGCAAGGGGCCCAGAGAAGGGCACTGGGGGGCCCCCTGCTGAAAGGCCTGTGCAGCCCCTCCACCGCCCTCCTCCAGACAGCAGGGGGCACCCGCCTGACCCCACCCAGAGGCACCGCAGCTGTCCTGCCGTTCCAGAAGTGAACAGTAATTTCTTCTTTTGATGCTACATGACAGAAAATGACATTTCGTTACAGCTCCCTCTTCTGTATCATGGGATAAGGGTTCTCCTATCCCCCAAAGAAAACCTCAGCACAGCCCTCTGCTCTGCCTGCCTCCTCATGCCCGCTTCCCCCCCCGCCCCCCCAGCCAGGAACGGCCCTCCCCTGCTCCATAGTCACCACCACACCCCTGCACCCGCAGGCACCTCCCCCTCAATCTTCATGTCAAAACCAAAATGCCTTGGGGAGGGAGGGGCTCCTTCTGTCACTCTGACTTACGGGCATGCTGACTGGTCAGCCCTGTAGAAGGGGACAGTCCTGGTCTCTGGACGACTCGACTCGGTGGGGACAGGTCGTGAGTACTGGTGTGAGTCAGGCTAACCCCACAGCACCATAGGCTAGCTAGCCAATACAGACATAGTAGCTTTAGGCTCTTATACCCTGATGAAATATATTTTTTAAGCTGAAGATATGATTTGTATATCTGTTGCCACACCTAGGATTAAGCTGCAAATGAGGGGCTGAGGGTTATTTTTTAAATGCCTCTAAGACCCCCTGAGCTGTAGAGACACCCTTTGCTCTCTCCTCCAGCCTGATCACCAGCCTGGCCCTCTGGGGACTGGCAGGTCAGAGCAGCTTCCCTTACCTCTCTGGGGGTCTGTCGTCTCCAAGCCCAAAACAGTGGCAGGGCCATACCGCTGTCTGTCTGGCTCCCAGGGTGCCAGCACCTTGTCCCCAGGTTGCGGTGAGTATTTCATGGGTGGTGAGAACGGAATGACATCGTCTCCTAAGACCACACTGTGCTGCGGGACTGGCAGCTCTGGGCCTGTGACAAGGGGAGCCTCAAATTCCACGAGCAGGGCACCCTGCCTCTCCAGCTGTGGGAGAGAAAACACGCAGAGTAAGATCTGGTGTTGGGAAGTACCCCAGGGAACGCCCTGGTTCCCTACAGTCATGCCCTAGAACCGGGCCCAGGGCCCTCCTTACAAACATTGAGGGCCATTCAGAGAAGGGACAGGGACTGCTTAGAGCCCACCGGAGCAGAGACGGGCAGGCTGTGAGGAGGATGCTCTTCCCGCTACCTCTCCTTGCGACGGGCACCTCTTGTTGATCACTTCCTGCCTTTTGCTTCTCATTCTCTTCCTTTTCCTGTTTTTCTTTTTTCCTCTCTCTATTTTCGGCCTACAATCCCTGGGTCCTCTTCTTTCCCCCGTGCACCCCCCACCCCAGCACTACCAAGAAGTGCTGTCCCTGTGTCCAAGGCCAGCCAGTGATGGTATATTTGTCCACATGCCCACGTGAGCAAGGAGTGGCTGGGACATTAGGGTGCCCTGGGCACTGTGTGAGGAAAGGTTTGGCTAAGCAGACAGACCAGCATTAAAGAGGGCAGAGTACTGCCCGGCTGGTGTGGCTCAGTGGTTGAGTGTTGACCCATGCACCAGGAGGTCACTGGTTTGATTCCTGGTCAGGGCACATGCCCAGGTTGTGGGCCCCATCCCCAGTGGGGGGCATGCAGGAGGCGGCCAATCAATGTGCTCTCTCATGGATGTTTCTATCTCTCTCTCCCTCTCCTTTCCTCTCTCTCTAAAAAAATCAATAAAGAAAAAAAAATGTTTGTTTGTTTTTTTAAAGAGGGTAGAGTACGATTGAGCTCATCCCATGGACTGAGAGATCCTGGTGAGGGCACATGCCGGGGTTGCAGGCTTCATCCCCAGTAGGGGGCCTGCAGGAGGAGCTGATCCATGTACCTCTCTCACATGGACGTTTCTCTCTCCCTTCCTCTCTCTCTCAAAAAGCAATAAAAACATATTTAAAAAAATAAAGAAGGCAGAGTACTAAAGATAATGACAATTATAAGCTCTTTAGAGAGCTAAGTATGATGTTGAAAAGAAAGTCTGGTTAATGAATCATTAGACAGAGCCTATATTTGACCAAAACTGCTACTATTTCATTTGAATTCACATATTAGTTACTTGAAAATGACAAAATGACTTTTGATTGGAAATTTTATAATTCATATTTTTTAGAATTCACAGCCGTCTTTCCTCCAGGGGTCCACATTCACAAAGTCTGACTCTAAAAAGCAGAGAAATACCCCGAAGTCAGCAGCCACTGAAATGGAAGCCAGGCCTGGGTGGAGAGCGTGGGAACCGGGCTTCTGCGCACACAGGTGCGCCGGCGCTGCACGGGGCCATTAGCACTTCGTCCGGCTTCCCTTAGGCTGATGCCCAGAATTCCAGACCTTGAATTTCCTGAACAGAGGACTTCTACAATACACGCCTGTTGTGGCTAAAGCATTCCGATTGTGCTACTTTCTCACACGGCCCTAACACACTGACCCTCTCCCTGACATCGCATTTCCACTTGTTCAACCTGGCCGTGGAAGATCTGTGCTTATCCAGGAAACTGAACCCTGGGCGCGCACAGCTGGGGAATATCAGGTATGACCGGGCCTCCCAGAGGAGGTGCCAGGGAGGTGCAGGGAGTTAGGGACTTGCCTCTGGAGCAGTCTTTATCTGAGCCCGGTAATAAAAGCCATCTGGTTCCCTTCTTGCCAGGACCCAGGTGTCAGCAGCATCTCTGGTTCCTCCCAGGCAGCCGGACCCTTGCTGTGGTGGGTCCCCAATGTGGATACACTGTTGATAACATACACATCTGGGAAAAGGCAAGTGGAATTAGGGAGTAGAGAAGACCGAGCCCTAAACACATCAAGAAACATGCTTCAGCCCTGGCCAGTTTGGTTCAGCGGTTAGAGCGTCGGCCTGTGGTCCAGAGGGACCCGGGTTCGGTTCCCACTAAGGGCGCGTACCTCAGTTGCAGTTTGTCACCGGCCCTGGTTGGTTGTGCGGGTGGCAGCCACTCAGTGTGTCCCTTTCACATCGATGTTTCTCTCTCTCTCTCTCCCTCCCACTCTATCTGAGCAAAAAAATAGAAAAATGTCCTCGAGTGAGGATAAAAAAAAAAAGAAACATGCTTCACAGATAGATGTGAGCAGCACCATGGCGTGTGTGACATACAAGGCCATGTGGGACAGAAATCCACGTAAGTGCCACACTATGGCCTCCAGTAAGGTAAACTGCGAGGGGCAGGACAGGACAGGACAGGACAGTGAGGACTGGGAACTGTTTCAAGGTCATCAAAATGTCATTAGCTTTGATAGATTCAAGCCAGTTAATGCTGGTTTTGAGATTAGAGAGCAGACCGGAAAAGAGTTCCACGAAGGTAAATCCTAAGTGGGTGTGTGGGATTCCGGGATGAGGAGTGGGGGCTTGGACGGTAATGCCAAAGGAGCAAATGTTTAGAAACCCTCGGCACTGTGGGGTCAGCTGGGAGGAGGAAGTGCTTGAACAGGGGAAGCACAGAGGAGCCGCATAAGGGGCCGTGGGGACAGAAAAAAGGAGAAGCTAGTTCTGGGAATTTTGTAGACACAGCTGAGCTGGGCAGTGGGTGGGGATTGTTGAGTCAGGGTTTGGGTTTCTGAGGAAGCTGTTTACTTTTGTGGGCAAGCCTGGATCCAGGCTTTGAATGAGGTGGCCCATACAGGAGAAGCAAGAAGGCGCTGTTAAGGGTTCACACTGGCATGTCTGTAACCTGCGCAGGCTGGATTGGGTAGCATGGACATGAATCCCTGGGACATGCGTACAGGCCGAGGTGCCTTTCCCCTTTTGTAGGCACACTTCAGACAGTCAACTGAAGAGACGCTTCAGGAAAAGCCAGGACAACTGAGGGAACCTGAGGAGGAACCTGGAGACCTCACCTTAGCTGCTGGTTGCAGAAACCCTAATTTCTCACATAGTTGGTAAAATGGTCTAACAACTTTGTAACTGGAGGTGCCTGACTGCCCTCTCTCACACATGCCAGCTCCATCTACCACTTTGCTACAAGGTGGGACAAAAGCCAGGTCAACCCAGGAGGTTGCTGGGAGTACACTTTAGACTGGGTTCATATGATACCTTAAGCAAATCATAGCCCATGCAGCAAAGTTCCCAGGAAGCAAGTTCTCTCCCTCACGGTTCACTATCTAGAGCCATAGACGAGAGAAGAAAAAGGAAGGTGCACGCCACTTCCTCCAGAGGGGCAGAGACCAGTACCTGGGGAGAGGGTTGTGCCAGGTGAGCCAGGGTGCTTGGAGGGCAAAGGGGCAGGTGAAGGAGAGGTCCCAGGGAGGAGCGGTGCTGGCCCAGGCGGGGGCCTCCAGGATGGTGGCCACGCTGCAGTACTTGGGCAAAGGTGTCCCAGGCTCTGCGGAGGATTCCATGGCCTTCGGAGACACCACCTGAGAACAAGCACCCCAGTCATCTGCAGCCTCGGCCCAGCAGAGGGCACCGGGCTGGGGCCTGGCTCAGCTCTGCTGTTAGCAGCCTCTCTGGGGCCCCACTCGCTCCCACATATGTTCAGGGTGCCCAGGAACCTCAGTTCAGGAAAGGGTAGAAAGAGTGAGAGCTGTGATTTTAGACAAACCAGCTTGAAATCCTTCTCAGCTGCGGGCTGCCTGCTCACTTCGCCTTTGCGCCCAGTTACCATTCAGGAGATAATGTATGGAAAGCACCCGGCATATAAGAAGCTCAATATATACATTAGTTTTTTCCTCCTTTCTCCTCCTCGGTTGTAGGGGCTCCTGAGAGGTAAGACCCTACTTCCCTTCACAAATCTTAACCCTGATGACAAAGTGACCCCTAGCCCAAGCCACAGACTCCCCTCCAACCCCAGTCATCTATGGAACTAACTCTAACCCCAGGCCCAGCTGATCCCAGGGCTGTGGCCTCCACAGATCTGTTCAGAGCAACAGCTGCGACTTGGGCCCAAGATCACACCCACTGCCCAGCTCACCAGTGCCCAAGTCCACAGGTCTGACCCAAGGGAAGACTTACCCGCAGCCCCAGCCTCAGCCTCTTCTGACAGTTGGGACTCAGGGCCTCAACCCAACTGACTCCTGGTTGCCAAGCAGGTTGCCATGGGTGAGCCAGAGAGAACACTGTGGGCTGAGTGCACTGAGCATGTGCAGAGGGGTGACAGTGGGCCTTGGAGGCATGGGCGGGGCCAGGGGGCAGGGTTATTCTCCAGCTTTGTCTTTAACATGGGGAGAGGGCCCGGCCGCTGAGGCTCAGTGGTTGAGCATCGACCCATGCACCAAGAGGTCATCAGTTCGATTCCTGGTCAGGGCACATGCCCAGGTTGTGGGCCTGATCCCCCGTGGGGGGCATGCAGGAGGCAGCCAATTGATGTTCTCTCTCATCGATGTTTCTATCTCTCTCTCTCTCCCTTTCCCTTCCTTTCTCTCTAAAAAATGAATAAAGAAAAAAAAATTAAAAAAAAAAAAAGATGAGGAGAGGGGGATATTGGAGAGAGAGGTTCCCCACTGCCTGAGGAGCCCGTCGTGGCGGGAAGCCTTCCGGGATCCCAGGGGAGCCCTGTGAGGGAGGGAGCTGACCCTAAAGACTCAGGACTATTGATCTGCCTCCACCCTGAGCAGGCAGGAGGCTGGGATGGGGGAACCACTGGCTGGACTAGGGACTCGAACACAGGATTTGTCCCTCGTTTAAAACAAAATAACCAAAGGTGTGGGCATGTCTGTGCATAACAGACAGGACTCCACTGAGATGCAGAGGTGTTGTGGCCACTTGGGGGTTGGGGGTGGGAGTGGACAGTGGGGACCAAAGGAACAGAAGTCTAGCTTCTGCTCTCCTTTGAACCTCCATGGGAGAGGCTGGTGTTTTGAGGCATCTGACAGTCACTGTGCACCGGCTGCGTGCCCGGCAGCGTTCAGTGGAGGACACCAAAACAGGACAGAGGGACATTTGTGGGCGTCTCTCCACATTACCATTCCCCTGTACCACCAGGTGGTTGTCATGGGTTTGAGCAGTGAGGTGGCATGCCATGCCTCCAAGAAGGGCATCGGAGGGAGGAGAGAGCCAGTTGAGAACAGAGCCTGGGAGGCTGGGAAGGAGACTGTTAACAGTCTTCCAGACAGGATTGGAATAGGAAAACAATAACACTGAATATTGACTGTCAACACCTACCTGACCTGAGGCTCTTCGCTGGGTGCTAAGAGTACAGGATGAGTAGGACTGGCCCCTGTCTTCAAGGAGCGTACAGTCTCCTGACAAAGACAGAGAGGTGTGTAATACGGCGTGGAAAGATGGCAGGATAGAAACTGCACGGAAATGTGTATTCAAGACAAAGGTGCAAGATGGCTGGGTGGGAAGACTTCGCAGAGAAATGGCAGTGGAGACGAGGGTGACAGCGTATTGGAAGCTCTGACTGAGCTTGTGACAGATGGGACCTGGGAGTGAAGGGAGAAGGAAGAGCTGAATCTGGTCCTGGGAAGAGAAGAACCTATTTTGAAGGCAGACTCCAAAATATGGGGCAGTGACTGTCCCTCCCAGGGGTGAAGGCAGCTGCCCGTGTCCTGGCTTAGAGAAGCTGGAGAATGTGAGGCCATGAACGAAACAAGAGAAGGATAATAATACTGATTCTGATGATAGTAATAAAGGTTGTAAATACTTCTTATGTGCCAGGCACTGTTAACCTGTTAAACCAATAATACTCATACAGGGTAGTTGGTGTTCTTATTCTCGTTCTGTGGGTGAAGAGCTGAGTCATGGAGAGCAAGTGGCGAGTCACAGTTTAAACCGCGGCAGTTTATTCGGGAGGCTGCCCTCTCACCCTCTACACCAAGCTGCCCAAGGAGCCTCTGCATGCAGGATACAGACGACCCCGAATAATTTCAAATGACAACAAAGTTTGTTAACTACTTTTGCCGCAGCTCTGACACACTTCCCCAGCGTGACATGGGTAAAGCATTGATTTATTGTCAACTCCAAAGAATAAAAACCACCACACTTGGACAAGTCCAGGGAGGTTCACCGAGCGTGCCTAGTGTGAGGTCGCCGCACAGCGCACTACGCGCACTCAGTAATCATCAGCCAGATGACACCTCTGTGAGTTTCCCACGGCTGAGGCTCAGGTGAAGGGTGTGGGAAGGGCAAGGTGAGAGCTATAGAGAATCCCGGGATGCCTGCTCCCCTCAAGTTCTTGAAAGGAGTCACTGAAGCTTAAGAAGCATCTTCTCTTTCTACAGAAGATAATGTTTAGTACATCTGAAATCCAGGTAGGAAATATGCAGCCTAGGTTAGCATCTGAGCCATTATCTGCCCACACAGGAATTGCATGTAGGAAAAACTATTGCGTGATGCTATGAGATCCCATTTTGTGATGTTATTTGTTTCTATTTGGAACCACTGAGTCAAATGATTCTGAAAATGGGGTCAGTGTTGCGGCTGGCGGTTGCTATTATGGTGGAACTTTTCCCAGGGATATTCTTGGTCTCGGCCATATCAGGGTGCAGTAGAGACTGCAGGTAAGTAATGTACTTGATTGCAGCTCTGAGGGTTTCCACTTTGCTGAGTCGCTTCTCCAGGTACTCCTCTGGCAGATGGTGTCGGAGCTGGGCATAGCCTTCGTTGACACACTTCACCCGCTGCCTTTCCCGTTCGTTCCTCTTCCGGATAAAGGAGGGCCCGTAGGAGTACTCACACCTTCTGTAGTTGGGATAAGGCATCGGGAAGGAGAAGGGGCCGGGTTCACTGTAACTGTCCACGACCAGTGAGTCACTGGCAAAGGGCAGCAATGGCAGGTCTTCAGAGTAAGGGGACGGCACCGGGGCCTCAGGGTACAAGTGGAAAGTGACCATGGGGTCCAGGTAGAAAGACCTGGTCAGAGGCAAGTGGGCAGACTCAGAGAAGACAGGCAGTTTTTCTGGCAGATTAGAGTAGCTTCTATTGTCCATCATTTCCTCGTCAGCCTGCAAACATAACCAAGTTTATTAATTTGGCCAAATCAAAGGGGAGCAGATATCATTGATTTTCTCAGAGATAATTGTTTTAAAGACTCTTCTGCTTTGATGTATACTTTCTGAGTTCATTCTGAAAACTAGATACCTACAGTATTCTGTGGGTATTAAGAGGGAGGATTTTTGATGATACACAGAAACAGCATTAAATAACATTGACCTTGTGAGAAAGTCACTGTCTTTCAATTCGCCTCCAATTCCAAGGATTGCGTAGATACAGCTTTAGTCTGGTGAGAGTGTCTTCTGCACGGCTAGAATGCTTCTAATCCTTCTCAGATGGAAACCGCAACAAGCAATATTATATGTCTAGAGTGTAATAATATTTTACTCTTAATATCTATTTATTGTGAATGATACTGATTTCACATTTATAGTATGATACAAAGTTTAATTTAAAAATAAAATCTACTTCAGTAAAAACTATGAATATGCCTGGCTGGTGTGGCTCAGTGGTTGAGCGTCGACTCATGCACCAAGAGTCACCAGTTCAATTCCCAGTCAGGACACATGCCCGGGTTTGTGGGCCAATCCCCAGTGAGGGGCGTGTAGGAGGCAGCTGATTGGTGTTCTGTCTCACCGATGTTTCTATCTCTCTCTCCCTCTTTCTAAAATCAATAAAGAAAAGTATTTAAAAAATATATGAATTGATTTGAAGAAAAATAGTAAGTACCAGTCCAGATGGAACACAGATAATGAAGACTGTGAAGGTGTATGTAGATAACAGAAGTTGGGGAAACAATGAAATACCACAATATTTAAATACACGTTGGAGAAATTGCAAACTAGTTAATGATCATGCAACCTCACAGCACCGCCTTCCTAACTAATACCGGATATGACAGAGGCAAAGCTGAAAATAAAAATATAAAAGGAATCATTTACTCTTAACTGTAATGTCCTGGCTGGGTGGCTAAGTTGATTGAAGTGTTTTCCTGTGCACCAAAATGTTGCAGGTTTGATTTCCAGTCAGGGCACATGCCTAGGTTGTGAGATCAATCCCCAGTCAGGGAGCATATGGGAGGCAACTGATCGATGCTTCTCACATGGATGTTTCTCTCTCTCTCTCAAATCAATAAAAACATATCCTTTTAATCCAGGTGAGGATTAAAAATAAATAAGTAGATAAATATTTACTATAAGAGTCCTTTAAATGAAAAACTCTCCTAATACATTTATAACAATTTACATATTTTTACCTTTAAGAATATTGAGTGAGATGCATCTGTATTTAAGTTTTTTTTTCTTCAATAGAACAGAAGGGTAAAGTATTATATCCCAAGATGTCCCACACCAACACATTTTCTCTATTTAAATAGGTCTGCATCCATCTCATTTATTAACCCACCATCACCTTTGCCTTTAACTATAACAATGTGACCACAACAGATTTTACAGGGAGATTGCAGTTTAACCAGTTAACTGGGAGCCAGGGTAGTGTTGTAGGGAAAGAGCATTTCCCCTCAGGTTTCAATCTTGGCCTTGCCCCTTGCTAGCTGTGTGTCCTTAGACAAGCTGTGTAATCTCTCTGCGCGTCAGCATTTTCCTCTGACCAACTGAGATATCAACTATCCTGCAGTGATTGTGAGGATTAAATGAAGACATGTATACCATTCTTTTTCTCTGCCCTTTATAAACAGATAAGTACTTGTGCAGCACCCCTTTCTAAATTGCACCTTATGGAAAATCTGGCTTGGGTTTCCCCTAACACCGGAAAATCAAACATTGATATATTCAAAGCACATTTGTGGAGAGATGAAGAACATATCTAAAATGGAAAAGGAAAAAGCAACATGAAATCTAATTGTGGGCCTCCAGAAAAGAAGGAAATAGGACTTTCTGTTCATTTCCCAGGGGTGTGATTTTTTTCAACATCTTCAGGAGAGGTCGTTCTCTAGGCTTGGCACATGTGAGGAAAAAGAGCCCCTCTTCGTCCCCCATGAACAAAGAAACAAATAAAACCCAGCCCTGACGCTTATGGGCAGGAGTAGATGACACTGTCCCTTGTTTCTCCCCCTGACGGGAGCAGCACCTCTGCAGGCCGCACTGTATAATGGTGGAGCAGCCTCTAGACACCAGAATTCACGTGCAATAAAGTATATTCCAGTTCTCGTGAAGAAGCCTATCCTATCTAGTTTGGCGACTGAAAGACAAATGACTATGGAAACAGAAAGGGCAGTCGGGGCTGGAGGATGGGGTGAGGGGTGGAGAGGGTTATGATAAGTCATGGTGAAACAGGCTGGAAAAGGCGTAAGTGCCAGGAAAAACTCCCCCGAAGAGGGGGTGGGAGTGGGGGAATAAGATGAGTGAGATAAGTCCAATGAAAAAAAATCAAAACAAACGAACAGGAAGTGAATGATTCCAAATTTCTGACCAAATGGCCTGAAATAACTAACATAAAACAAAAATCTCTGGAAGATTGAAAACCAGCCAACACTGTGTCAAAAAGAAAAAGTTGCTGAGAGAAAAGAGTTAGGAAATTCCCAAGCCAGAGACACTAGAAGGTAGATGAAGAACATGTAGGGCAGAAGTTATAAAATGATGGCACAATGGGTATGGAGCCTGTATTTCTACATTGCTGAGCACAGCAAAGCCTCATTTCTGCCGATGGCTGACAAGTCAGAGGTGATACAGCAGGGTACCAAAACATGGGCAGATGTCATCAAAGCCAATTACACACAAAAACTCTGGGTATGGCTTCATTCTGACAGATCATTTTAATACTGACTTAATGCCACAGGTAATTAAAAGTTTCTAGGCTTTAACAAAACTGTGCATTATTCTTGGGAAAATAGCCTGGTGTGTCTGGAGACACACAGATGAGAAGCTTTTTCTATTGAGTATTTCCAAAAGGCTCACTAATCAATGTAGTAGCATTTAAATATGATCATCTTTTATTCAAAGAAGAAAATTTAACCACAACCCAACAGAGTGACAGAATGAAAACTGCAGCCATGGAGAAGATCAAGGTAGGAAGTCTAGCGGAAGCTGGACACGTTTGTGGAAACTGAGTACAAGTGTTTAAAGAAAGCAACACAGACTATTAGTGCTGGGATCTGGCAGTTCCAGATACATACACAGCTAACAAGTTCGCCTATCTGGCAAAAGTCTCAGGTTTCTGTCCTAGAGCTCTTCTGGGAAATAAATAAGGTTTTAATGAAAAAATTCTAAGTAGATTTTGGATGCTCCGCCAAGCATAAAAGCTTCAACTTGCAGAGACATTACAAATATCTAGCATGTGAAAAACAAAACTACAACTACACATACAATTGAATTATGAAATGTTAGGGATGGAAGAACCTTAGAAGTCCTCTTATCCAATCCCTCATAGGTTGTAACTTGGCTAAGGTTGTAGGGCAGGGGTCGGAACCTAGGTCTTCTTACTTCCAAACCAAAACCCTTTCCACTACTCCTGATGATTTGATCACCAGCAAAATCTGAATCTTTTAACTTGTAGGCATAATTGATAGTTTAAAATAATGGAATACTCTAATAGCTGACAAAATTCATCATTCAACGGTGCCGAGGGATTTTCTTATAAATCATGCTCTTATTCTCCCAGTGGGCCACTCTGGGGAAGAGTCTCTTACCTGAGTTCTGTCACCAAGATGCTGTATTTTGGATTCAGTCAGACTTAACCTGATTTATAGGTGATCATTTAGTAATAATATGCAAAGTAGTTTACAGTTAAACAGAACTGCTCAGTTCTGGTTTAGCTGTTTTTTTCTACCTAACATTAGATATGACAACACATAACAATACCAAGTAGAAAGTTTCGCTTACAAAACTGGACTCCTGTAACAAATTCTTTTGTAAAAAGAATGCTCCCTCATTCACCTGGGTTATATGATTTTATATCAAAACTATTCATAAAAAATATCTTTAAGTAATAGTTTCATACTGTGTCAATAGTCTTTAAATAGAGATTAAGGTCATAACCAGGAAGGTCAATGTGAACCTATAGTTTATTAAAATAATAAATGTTTTGCCTTCTAAATAGACTGTATTTTTAGAGCAATTTTAGATGTACAGAAAAATAGAGCAGGAAGTACGGAGAGTTCCCGTATAGCTCCTGCCCCCTCCACAAATCCTTCCCCACTACCAATATCCCACCCCCATATATTTGTTACAATTGAACCAATATTGACACATCATTACCACTCAAAGCCTGTAGTTTACATAGGGTTCACTCTTGGTGGTGTACATTCCATGAGTTTTGACAAATGTATAATGACATGTACCACCTTGTTGGTATCAGATAGAATCATTTTACTGTTCTAAGAAGCCTCTGTGCTCTACTTCTTCATCCTTCCCCATCCTTACCCCAATACCTGACAACCACTGATTTTTTTTTTTTTTTACTGCCTCCATAGTTTCGCCTTTTCCAAAATTTCATACAGTTGGAATCATATTGTACGTAGCCTTTTCAGACTGGCTTCTTAGTAATATACATTTAAGGTTTCTCTGTATTTTTATGGCTTGATAGATCAGTTCTTTTTAGCACTGAATATTCCACTGTCTGGATGTACTCTAGCTATCCATCCACCTACTGAAGGACATCTTGGTTGCTTCCAAGTTTGGGCAATTTTATTTTATTTTATTATTATTTTTATCCTCACTCGAGGATATTTTTCCATTTTTTGTTCAGATAGACTGGGAGGGAGAGAGAGGAAGAGAGAAAGAGAGAGAAATATTGACGTGAAAGGTACACATCGAGTGGCTGCCACCCGCACTACCCATCCAGGGCCAGGGACAAACTGCAACCGAGATACGTGCCCTTAGCAGGAACCGAACCCGTGTCTCTCTGGACCTCAGGCCAATGCTCTAACCGCTGACCCAAACCAGCCAGGGCTATTATTATTTTTTTAATCCTTACCTGAGGATATTTTTCTATTTATCTTCAGATAGAGTGGGAGGGAGATAAAGAAGAGTGGGAGGGAGATAAAGAGAAAGAGAGAAGCATCAATGTAAGAGAGACACATTGACTGGTTGCCTCCCACATGACCCGAACCAGGGCCAGGGATGAACTGCAACTGAGGCACATGCTCTTGACCAGAATCAAACCCGAGACTCATTGATCTGCAGGCTGACACTCTATCACTGAGCCAAACATGCCAGGGCAGTTTTGGCAATTTTAAATAAAGCTACTATAAACATTCATGTGCAGGTTTTTTGGGGGCTATAAGATTTCAACTTACTTAGGTAAATACCAAAGAGTGTGATTGCTGGATTTCATAGTAAGGGTATGTTCAATTTTTTTATGAAACTGCCAAACTGCTTTCCAAAGGGGTCGTACCATTTTGCATTGACATCAGCAATGAATGAGAGTTCCTGTTGCTCCATAACCATGCCAGCATTTGGTGTAATCAGTGTTCTGAGACTGAATTCTTTTTTTTTTTTTTTTGGTATGTGCCCCTAGCGGGAACGGAACTCAGGACTCTCTGGTCTGCAGGCCGATGCTCCAACTGCTGAGCCAAACAGGCCAGAGTGTTCTGGATTTTGGTCATTCTAACAGGTGTGTAGTGGTATCTTGTTGTTTTCAGTTGTTATTCCCCTGATCATATGTGACGTAGAACATCTTTTCATATGCTTATTGGCCATCTGTATTTCTTCTTTGGTGAGTTGTCTGTTCAGATCTTTGGCCCCTTTGTTAATCAGGTTGTCTTATTGTTGAGTTTTAAGTTCTTTGTACATTTTGGATAATAGTACTTTATCAAAATATTTTGCAAATATTTTTTTCCCAGTCTGTGGCTTGTCTTCTTATTCTATTGAAAATGTCTTTCAGAGCAGAAGTTTTTAATTTTAATGAAGTACAGCTTATCAATGATTTCTTTTATTATTTGTGCTTTTGGTGTTGTATCTAAAATGTCATTACCAAACTTATAATAATCTAGATTTTCTCCTGTTATATGCGTTTATAGTATTCTGTTTTACATTTAGGTCTGTGATCCGTTTTGAGTCAATATTTTGAAGGGTGTGATGTCTGTGTCTACCTTCATTTTTTATTTTATATTTTGCATATGGGCGTCCAGTTATCCAGCACCATTTGTTGAAAAGACTTCTCCATTGCATTGCCTTTTTTTCTTTGTCAAAGATCAGTTGACTATATTTGTGTGGGTCTATTTTGGGGCTCTCTATTGTGTTCTATTGATCTATTTGTCTATTATTTTGCCAGTTCCGCAATGACACTGACTTGATTACTATAACTTTACAGTAAGTCTTCAAGTCAGATAGTGTCAGTTCTCTAACTTTATGCTTCTCCATTAATATTGTGTTGGCTCTTTTGGGTCTTTTGCCTATTGATATAAGCTTTAGAATCAGTTTGATGTTGAAATACAGAAAATAACTTGCTGGTGGTTTGATTAAGACTGTGTTGAATCTGTAGATCAAGTTGAGAAGAACTGACAGCTTGACAATATTGAGTCTTCCTATCCATGGACATAGACTCTCTCTTCATTTATTTAGTTCTTTTTTTACTTTTCATCAGTTTGGTAGTTTTCCTCATATATATTTTGTTATATTTATACCTATTTCATTTGGGGGGCTGGTATTCATAAATGGTATTGTTTTTTATTTCATTTGTTCATTGCTAGTATATAGGAAGGCAATTATCTTCAGTATGTTAACCTTCTATCCTGCAATCTTTCTATAATAATTATTTCCAGGTATTTTTTTGTTTTTTGATTCTTTTTTATTTTCTACAGACATTCATTTCATCTGAAACAAAGATAATTTTATTTCTTCCTTCCCAATCTGTATACCTTTTATTTCTTGCCTATTACACAAGCTAGGGTTTTCCATATGATGCTGAAAAAGAGTGGTGAGGACCCCTTGCCTTGCTCTTCGTCTTCGCAAGACCACGTCAGTGTTGTACTATTAAGTTTGTTAGCTGTGGGGTTTTGTAGACATTCCTCAGTTGAAGAAGTTCTCTTCTATTTCTAGTTTACTGAGAAGTTTTTTTCATAAGTGGGTGTTGAATTTTGCAAAATGCTTTTTCTTCATCAATGATAGAATCATTTCTTTTTCTCTAGCTTATTGATGTGATAGGTTTTATTAATTGGTATTTGAATATTCAATGAGTCTTGACTCCCTGGCATAAATTTCACTTGGTTGTAGTTGAACTTACATCTTTTTTTTAAAGCTAGATTATTTATTTAAATATATTTTTATTAATTTTTAGAGAGAAAGGAAGAGAGAACATAGATGTGAGAGAGAAATATCAATCAGCTGCCTCCTGCATGCCCCCCACTGGGGATCGGGCCCACAACCTGGGCATGTGCCCTGACTGGGAATCAAACCGGCGACCTCTTGGTGCATGGGTTGATGCTCAACCACTGAGCCATACTGGCCGGGCAAACTTACATCTTTTAAAACTAACAATAAAATAAATAATTTTAGGTTAAATTTGTAGGTCTGAAAATTTGTTTTTTATTAACCAAAATACCCATTAATAGCTCCTAAAACCTTATACATATGAATTTAATGTAATGTAATTCTAATATAATTTTTGCCAAGAATTTCTTAGAAAACTCATGTATTTTAAATCTCTCAATATATCAAAATGGTATTTCTATACTTTCAGAGACCAGTCTTACAACCCATACATTCACTCTCTCTTTGCACATGTGTGAGCATGCACACACACACACACACACACACACAATTTAGTTTTATGATTAGACTGATCTAAAACAGTAGTCTCACAACAGGGTACAAAATGCCTTTGCATTTTCAAGTTCATCATAGAACAAAAAAGGGAGGAGAAAAAAGTTAAGAGGCATAAATACACTGTTAGGTGTTTCAAAATTATTTTTATTGTTCCATTCCAAAGAGGACATAGGAAGAAAAAAGCGTTATCCAATGACTGTTATACCTTTCAGAGGGAGGCACATAGAACTCCAGTACTCATTCAAAGTGCACATACCACAGTTCAAACAGCTGCCTCTCAACCTGACCAGAAATGCTGACAAATATGTATATGTCATCAATCCAGCAAGGCTTGGTTTAAAAGAAAATTTCTTTATTGCAAATATCCAAGTCCTTAGGATTCATCCTTAAAGATGTTAGGGGATGAGAAAGACCACACATGCCAAGACTCTGTCTAGTCATTAGAGTAAACGAGCATGTGGCCAGTCTGTTCTAGGATGCACCACATCAGACATCACAGGACTTAAAGAAAATCTGCACCTTGTGAAGAGCCACCAGGCATTTCAGATCTCGTTTACCATGACGTGCTGCCATACACTGACCAGATAATACAATCAGTGAAAAATTCAAAAGGGATGAATCAGGGCTTTGATGAAGCTGGCCACACTGCAAAACGTAAGTGAAACTTGAAAATACAAGGTAACGTCTATTTACAAAAGTTTTTTCAGTAAAGTGACTTGAGAAAAGTTATGTTAAGCAGTTCCCAGGCATCCCTTCCCTCCCCTGCAAAAAAAAACAAAAACCTGAAAAATATCTTGAAAACCAAGTTAAAACTGTGTGGTGACAAAGAGAATGCTTATTCCCGGCGAAGGACTTCAAGGTAATTTATAGGCAGATGTATTTTTATTTGTAAAAGTCACAAATAGGAAAAGGTTTTTTGTCTAACTTGGTGTGTGCTTTAAAAAATGTCTCTTTTAATATGTTAACAAGAAAAAAAAATACCAAGCACGTTTTTCTTTCAGGTTTTGAATTTTCCAGCAAGAGTTGGTGAAATCAACAGGGTAGTAAAACAAAACCCAGGAAAACTCAGTCAGTTGTTTCCAGTTGTCTGCCTTGTTGCTTTCTAGTTACCTTGAATTTGATTCTCAATTAGCTGAGGACAACATGACGGTCAAAGACGGATTTTCGCTGCTCTTGAACTTGAAGCTTCCAGCGCTGCTGGGCATACTCTACCTTATTCAGCACATTGGCTCGACTGCGGGAGCGGGCCAGCACATCATGGGCATTTGCAAAAGGCTGGTGATCCTGAAAGTCCAGGAATGGAGAACATAAGAGATGGCATAATCAGTGTAAAACATACACACAAAACAGCAGTTATCCAGCCACAGAGACAGAAGCAGCTGGACTTTTCACAGAACAGACCATCTATTTGCCCAAGCATTTCTCTCTCTCTCTTTCTCTTTTTTTTGTTAATCCTCACCTGAGGATATTTTTCCATTGACTTTTAGATAGAGTGGGAAGAGAGAAAGAGAGAGAGAAAGAAACATCGATGTGAGAGAGACACACTGATTGGTTGCCTCCAGCATGACCCTGACCAGGGCTGGGGATCAAACCTGCAACCCAGTTACGTCCCTTTGACCGGAATTGAACCAATAATGACCTTTTGGTCCATGGTTGGACACTCTAACTGCTGAGCCAAACCTGCCAGGATCGCCCAAGCATTTCTAGGAACTCAACTGCTAGAAATAGGATGAACTCAACTGAAGAAATACGTGGTTCAAATGGCATAAGCAATGATCAGGTATTTGTGCAATGTTCCCAAGAGTCACCATGTCCAAAGACATTTCCCTTATGAAGCAGGGACCAAAGATAAAGACAGTGATCATTTATGTTAAAGAGAAGCTTCTCTAACAGGTAGGGGAAAGAAAATCTATTTTCATATTAATATCTATATGCTACAGACACAGAAAGTAGGACTTTTCCTTACTTTACTCAAAACTATCTACAGCTAATCTGTAGCAGAGGAAAGACCTGTCTTGTAATTATCTGACTCCCATTATTTTAGAATTGTTACTTGCCAGCTTGGAACCACGTTCACCCTGGGAGATGAATTGACAGGATCCTTTTTAAAAAACTATGTTTTGCCCTGGCCGGTTTGGGTCAGCGGTTAGAGCGTTGGCCTGCGGTCCAGAGAGTCCTGGGTTCAGTTCCCGCTAAGGGCATGTACCTCGGTTGCAGTTTGTCCCTGGCCCTGGTTGGTCGTGCGGGTGGCAGCCATTCGATGTGTCCCTTTCACGTCGATGTATCTCTCTCTCTCCCCCTCTCTCTCCCTCCCACTCTATCTGAACAAAAAAAATGGGAAAAAAGTCCTCAGGTGAGGATAAAAAAATATATATGTTTTTATTGATTTTTGAGAGAGAGAGAGGAAGGTAGAAAGAGATAGAAACATTGATGTAAAAGAGAGATACATCAATTGGTTGCCTCCCGCATGACCCTGACCAGGGCCAGGGATCGAACTGAGGCACATGCCCTTGATTGGAATCTGAACCCAAGTCTCTTTGGTCAGAGACTGATGCTCTAATTGCTGAGCTAAACCGGCCAGGGTGAGTTGACAGGATTTTATTGTGGTTGTTTTTTTGTGTTTTTTTTTAAGTTTTTTTTTATCCTCACCCGAGGACATTTTTCCATTCTTTGTTGAGGTAGAGTGGGAGGGAGAGAGAGGAACAGAGAGAGAGAGAGAAATATCGATGTGAAAGGGACACATCGAGTGGCTGCCACCCACACGACCAACCAGGGCTGGAGACAAACTGCAACCGAGGTAGGTGCCCTTAGCAGGAACCGAACCCAGGTCTCTTGGGATTGCAGGCCGATGCTCTAACCGCTGAGCCAAACTGGCCAGGACTATTTTGGTTAGTTTTAATCTCTCCCTGGCCCCTCAACACATACACTCAACGGAGTGGTTTACCTCTTCCCCAATCTGTAATGAAAAGAAACACAGCTCGCCCTGGCCGGTTTGGCTCAGCGGTTAGAGCGTCGGCCTGCGGTCCCGAGAGACCCGGGTTCGGTTCCCGCTAAGGGCATGTACCTCGGTTGCAGTTTGTCCCCGGCCCTGGTTGGTCGTGCGGGTGGCAGCCACTCGATGTGTCCCTTTCACATCGATGTTTCTCTCTCTCTTCCTCTCTCCCCCTCCCACTCTACCTGAACAAAAAAAAAATAGAAAAATGTCCTCAGGTGAGGAAAAGAAACACAGCTCAAGTGCTAAAATTACCCTCTATTACCAAGGACAGCAGGGAATTATTGCTTCAGAATTTCTATTCAATAAAAACTTGAATCTTTTCAATGCTGAGCACCCAGTGGCTTCCATGTTAGTTGTTGCCTTAGGAAAAGAGGCTAATGAAGGCTTACCCAGGTATCTGTGTAGAAAACCAACCTATCCTGGTCAAAGTAAACCAATGCGACTGATGTTTGTAGTCATTACAGAGGAAACCACTGTGCTAATCTATCTATGAATGATATATAAACACAGCTGCCTACATGACAAAAAGCATTCAAAACTAAGTTATTGCTTTTGTTTGCATTTTTCTTGATCTCTTTTTCCCAAAACCTGGTTAGCAAAGCTTCTAAATGCTCCAGTATAGAATCCAAGTCACAAGTTGTACTTCTTAAACTGAACTTTGCCTCTAGTAAAGAAACATTGCTTTGCTGTGTGTGTTTGCAAAAGCTCCATTATGTATCCAGAACAGGCGTCAGCATGTCTATAGAAAGCTATACACAACCATATAACTATATACAACTGCAACCATGTGGTGTTACAACACCTGCTCTTCTTTTTGTACCGAGACATGCACATAACATAAAAAAGTTTTCTATAAAGATCCTTCCCTGACTTCTTTACCAAAATTCCCTCAACTTTTCACTTAATTTAGGTAACAGCTTGTGCAAACCCTATTCATTTTTTAAAATCTTCAAATGAAAATAATAAAAACAATTTCATAAAGTTAAAAATGTATCGAAGATAAAAGAAATAAGGTGAGGAAAGAGGAGGAATAAAGTTGTTGGATTACCTGATTTCCAATAAGGAAATAAACCGATCCAAGGTCATCTAACAAATTAGCACAAACACCAAGACTTATAAGTTCACCTAACCTTGACTTGGTGTCGTATTTTCTAAACATACTGATTTTGTTCAGGTAGATTAAAATGACACTATTAGAATATGGTGATGAACTTGTATATAAAATATTATCACCACTGGTTTGTTTTTATATAAATAAGACTGGAAAGAAGAATGTACTTTATCAGCAGATCACCTCTCAATTTCCTAGTCCTGAAATCTACTCTTCAAGGTAGGGGAAGACAAATCTTCTTAAGGAACAAATTTAAAGGACTAAACAAACCAGTAATGCTGTTGGTCTGTTCTCCACCTTTCAGAACAAGATTGAACCAGTTGCTCATGGTCATGGATGCTGGGAGAATGCAAAGAGAGGTTTACACTTTTTATATGTTTGTTCTTTTCACACCTGATAAAATTACAATAAATACAAAACATGTTCTAATGTAATGCTTTGATAATAGCAATGACATGTCATAGATATATAATACAGCAAATACTGTGACTGCTTACAGTGAGCTTAACTTTTTGTATTAACTCACTTGATTTAAAATGGCCCAGCTGGTGTGGCTCAGTGGTTGAGCATCGACCCATGCACTAAGACATCACCAATTTGATTCCCAGTCAGGGCACATGCCCAGGTTGTGGGCCCGATCCCCAGTGAGGGGCATGCAGGAGGCAGCCAATCGATGTTCTCTCTCATTGATGTTTCTCTCTCTCTCTCTCAAATTAAAAAAAACAAACAAACTATTTTAAAAAATAGTGAAGAACTCTCATCTTGGGTAAGCAACAACTTAAAGGAATTTAAATTTAACTTCCTTTTATACAGAATTGTTACCATAAATTCACAGCTCTGGTCTAAAAACCTCTCTCTGCTGACAATCAGTTTAACAGATACCCAAGAGTCAGCCAGGCCTCTCAGAAACAATGTTCTCAAATGGTCAACTTACACACAGAATCGATCACTGGTGAACAAAAAAGTTACCAAGCACATGACCCCGCCAATCAAATGCCTTTCCTCCATGTCTTTGTGTACACACTTGTGCATCCATTTCTCTTATGTTCTTTGTGTATTATATTGATACTGTCCATTCCTAAAATCAGGAACCAGATATTTAATGCTGTAAGTGATGCAGTTTAAGTCAGACTTTTTATCTGTGTGCCTTATAATGAAATGGTTTATGTGGCCTTTGACACATAACATTTTCATATATTAGTTCTCAATTGGGGGTGATTTTCCTCCCCAGGAACATTTGACAATGTCTGTGGACATTTTCGATGGTCATGCCTGGGATGAAGAGGCTATTAGCATCTACAGGGTAGAGGTCAGGGATCATGCTAAATATCTTACAATGAATAGGGCAGCCCCTACAACAAAGAATTATCTAACTCAAAATGTCAATACTGTAGAGGCTGAGAAAACCCTGTCATATGTGAATTAACATGGGAACAACATTTGAGATGCCATTGTTTCTGGTACATAGCCTCCTGTCCTTGTAGCGTTTTTATCCCATGAGCCTCACCATGTCTGGTTTTTGACCATGTCAGATCTCTAGTCTTGACCTTTATCCTAGCCTATCAGTCCCCTCCTGAAATTCTTCAAAAAGAAGCATTTCTTATATGATTAAAAAGAAAAAGAGTAAACACTATTATTAGTCATTTCTTTTATATATCTGTTTCTATTTTATTCATCTCTTTATTGTTAGTATGTAGCGCAGTACCTGATAATGAAAAGTTACTAATTATGTATTGGATAAATTCATAAAAGAAACAAGGTTGAAAAGGTAAACAGAGGTGTTTCTATGAAAGCTCTTGACAAAACAAAAATGAAATCTTGCCCAAATAAGTTGAGGATTCGTAACTGATATTCATGAGACAACAATGTATTGATCAACGAGCAGGCTGTTGGCCCTGGCTGGTTTGGCTCAGCGGTTAGAGTGTCGCATGCAGACCAGAGAGGCCCGGGTTCAGTTCCTGCTAAGGGCATGTACCTCGGTTGCAGTTTGTCCCCGGCCCTGATTGGGGTCATGTGGGTGGCAACCAGTCGATGTGTCTTTCTCACATCGATGTTTCTCTCCCTCTTCCCCCCTCTCTTCCTTCTGCTCTATCTGAAGACAAATGCACCAAAAAAAAAAAAAAAAAAAGTCCTCAGGTGAGGATAAAAAAAAAAGCAGGCTCTGTTTGTAGTTATAACTCAAGCCATCCAGTCAGGATCCCCTTCCCCATCTTTTACCACAGGTTCACAAGCCATTTAAGAGTAAAATGGCTTCTGACTGTGGTTAGCAAGGGCTCACCCTGGCTTTACTTTTGGAATTGGTTCTTGAAACTCTACTGAAGTTTATCCACTTTAAGGAACATAATCCAATAAAGTAATCCAAAATAAAAAGAAATTCCTAAAAAATTATATATGTAATAATGAAAATTTGGAAATAAGCCCAAACAGGAAAATAACAAAACAAACAAATATATTTCTCTAAGCTAAAGTGAATAACAAGTTTGTGTACTATGTCAATTTCTGGACACTTTTTTTTTATCCTCATATCTTCAGATAGAGTGGGGGGGAGAGACGGGGGAAAAGAGAGAGAGAAACATCGATGTGAGAAAGACACATCGACTGGTTGCCACCCACACAACCCCAACCGGGGCCAGGGAAAAACTGCAACCAGAGTACATGCCCTTAGTGGGAACCGAACCCGGGACTCTCCGGTCTGCGGGCTGACGCTCTAACCATTGGGCCAAACCTGCCAGCACTCTGGACACTTTTGAATGAAGTAATGTTAACACAAAAAGCAGATCACAAAACAATTTATACACTGATTATACCAACTATATGTACAAATAAAAATGTGTTTTAAAGATAGGAAGAGAGCCCTGGCCAGTTTGGCTCAGCGGTTAGAGCATCGGCCTGCGGGTCCGGAGAGACCCGGGTTCGGTTCCCGCTAAGGGCACGTACTTCGGTTGCAGTTTGTCCCCGGCCCTGGTTGGTCGTGCGGGTGGCAGCCACTCGATGTGTCCCTTCACATCGATGTTTCTCTCTCTCTCCCTTCCTCTCTCTCCCTCCCACTCTATCTGTACAAAAAAAAAAAGATAGGAAGAGAATCAGGAGTGATAATTTTATTTTTCTCTTGTGTTAAAGATCACAGGTTTTTTTTGAAAGCATGATAGTGGGATATATAAAACATCAGCAGGTTATCAAACTGCACTTCATTAAGAAAAGAACAGCACCATCTTCTTGCTTCCCTTCACTAAACCCTCTTTACCTCCTATGATATTGGTGATGCTGACAGGAAAGGTGTTCAGGCAGGAGCTTGGGGAGGAAGCTATCTCAGATGCTTTTCTCAGTGTAAACAGGGAAAGGCAATGCATATTATGCTCGGGGTACTGAAGAGCAAGGCCTTGTATGACACACTCACTAAGAACCATCAGTCTAAACCACCATATTTGTGGCTTTATGAAGCAATTTCCTCATAAACAGATATATAAGAAAACTAGAACTGTCTTTAGCTTCTCTGGGTGACAGTCTGCTCCAGCACATGAACATCTGTATTTCATCATGATGACCTCTGTCATCATCATGAAGAGCCAGGGCATGCTGAGAACTTACCCCAACATCGTCATCACTCTGTATTAACTGTGAGTGTCCAAATAGGCGTCTCTTCAGTATGGGCTCAACCAGAGTAAGGTACACCATGTACAGAAGTAGAAGGCCCAAAATGGATAGATAAATTATAATGGTAACCTAAAGGAAATTGAAAATAAGTTACATCTCTGTTCAAGCCAAGAAATCACAATTTTGTAGAACAGTAAAGCCACAGTGAAGATTGATCTGTCTGCTAAGCATAAAGGATACCTATACCAACCAGATTCTAACATAAGAAACAAACTCAACTCTCCATCAGCGTATTAAAGAAAAAAGGAAAGAAAGAATTTTGTCTTCGGGATCTTTTTGTGAGTCTTCAAAACCCCATTTTCACTTACTGCTAATCACTTATCACCACTGCTAGCACAGTGGGTTTCTTTCTTACCCAAATACAAAGTCACCCGAACAGAAAGTGCAATGCAGATGAATTTCAACAGAACACTCTTTTAGATCAATTTAGATACACAAAAATAGGTTTTAGGCCAGTGATTTCCTTGACATCTTAATTCCTGTGCTGACACCCCCAAGAATGGCTATAATTAAAGACAGACAATACCAAATGTTATACATCAAAATTTTTGTTTAAAATAAAAAAGTACAGTGAGAATTTCTCTATGGACAGCATCCTGCTGGAGCAGGGGCTCTCCCATAGGGTCAACTTCACCAGAGATCTTTGTAACTGATACAGCTGACCACTCCCACATTCCCCATGAGGCTTCTTTTTGGGAACGGAATGGGTTAGCTCCATATAAAAAAAAAACTGAGGAGAATAAGTATCGGCCACCACAATAAAGTAACTGAACTCATTAGAGGTCCAAATGGTGATCAGAGTGCTCTACCTTTCATTTCCTATAGCAAATAAAGGAAATCTTAAAATCCAGGCGTGAGTTTCTAGAATAGAATCACTATGTATATGATTTTTTCTAAGGGTTCAGAGGGCAGGAAGAAGAGGGCCTAATCATGCTGCTCTCACTATCCCTCGGCAAATACATGACCCACAGAGAAGCTGGGGTATTTTTCTGGGATATGCTAATTATACATAGGGCATTTTTGTACTATTTCACATATCACACCTATCTTACTTATCTTAATTAATCCACAAAGCATCTCAATGAGGCAGGCAGAGAGCAGGCCTGTTGTTTCTTCTGGGATGGGAGTTGGAGATGAGGAAAAAGGGGGTAAAGGGAGTGATGAAGAGCAGTTTAGTTTGAGTAACTAAAATAGGATTTAGAAGTCCAAAATTTTCCTTCTTGTCTCTGTACCATCAAGAACTATTCCAGAAGCAGAAAAGGGGGATTTATTTTTTTACCTTGATCGTCACAGAGCTTCTTTCCTCATATTTGCATTCACAGCGCAGACAGTATGCTTCTGTGTCAGGCTCCCGCACAGACATGAGCTCCACAACATGAAGGCAATCGCTGAAAAAAACAAAGATAACATACTGCTCAAGTCTAGCTGGATTTTCCATTCACACTGATCAAAAGTTTCTTGAAATCAGGAATAATCACTGAACTTACCCAAGGAAAGAATATAAGAAACAAATAATAAGGGAAGTGAAACGATTTCCTCTCTTGAGATCAGCAACTTGGTAAGATTTAAGAGTCTAAGAAACCATAAAGACACATATGTAGTAACTATTTTCAAAGGTGCTACTGTTAAAAGTTAAAAATGTACCTGAAAAATCCCAAATGGGATTAAAAACTACTTAGCAGATTGAGTCACATTCAAACCTATTCAGTTATCAAGCAAAACTGTTTTAAATGATTGAAAACTACTGGGGGCATTGTTCATTGTTCAAATATGAGATTGTCTCTTTTATGAATTAACCAACATCATTCTTAATTTCCAAGACTGGTATATAAATGGCTAATCACTCTTAACAGTTGGTAAATTCTGAAACTCTGAAACCTGAACATTTAAAGCTACAGTAACAAACAATTACTTGTCTTAATGAGCAAAGCCTATTGAAAAAGCATGGCAAAGGAGGATTAGGACAATAAAAATATTTTAAATGGAAACTGATTACTTGGAAGAAGTATATAAAAAATAAAAGGCTGAATGTTTTCGTTGTTAGATATTTTCTATTTTTTCCCCATTTTTCCATTTATGGCTTATAAAAAAATTCTATTTTTTAAAAAGTATTTTCCCAGAAATCTGTCAATTCTAGGAAATAATTAAGTTATTACTCTCCTCAGCTAAAAAGAGCCTACCACTATGATCAATTTCAGCAAAAGTAGGCAAACTTTTCTGTCTTCCTGTCTTCTGCTGGGCAATTTTCTTCCCTTTTGGCATCTCTTCGTTAGGTATTTCTGGCTTCCAGAACTCTACTATAGCTTCCTGTCTTGCTCCACCCATTCTTCTTGGGGGCAGCCAATGCTCCAGGCTAATTCTTTCCCTTTGCCCTATCAAAACATACTTTTTGTTTGTGTATTTGTTTCATTCCCTCTGCATAAGAAGAGAACCCAAAATAACATCAATGATAAAAGTTCAATCAGTTATACTTACCAGGTAATTTAAACAAAGATAGTATGTAATGAAAAAATAAGTCTCCAGTGGTAGAATTTCAAATAAGGGTAAGGTCCCAGAACTCACACCCATGTAAGTGTGTGATATCTGTTCCAAACATATGGATGACCAGGAATGTAGCTGGCTGGATGCAGGCATAACATGGCAGAGAAAGCTAAATCCCATTACAGGAGTATCTATCTCAGAATCAGAGCTCATCCAGCCCAACACTCTCAGAGAAGACATCTGCACGAGGTCACAGAGTAAACTACTAGCCAAAAGGACCAGAATCCAGGGCGCCTGCCTCCTAGGTCAAACCCCCTAAACTCTCTGAACTTCAGAAAAATGAGACTTATCTCCCAGGTAGTTTCCTATTCAGCTTCAGAAGCCTTAGTAACAATACCTAAGAATTATTTGAGAATCTAAGTGCTGAGTATTGAGTGTTTCTTTTGAAGAATACAGTTTAATAAAGAAGAGATACTGAGTGCTATGCAAAATTTGTGCAGAGTGGGAGGGGAAGTAGGAAGGTTGGTTCTGACTGGCTGGTCACTGTAAACACAGAACCCGGATACAGAACTCAACCACCTTAGGAACTAGGCAACACCTCCCCCTAGTGCCAAAGGGAGAACATTTTTGGTTTTAAATCACACCCAAAAAACAAACCAGAGAACCCTAACTTTTCTTAAATCACACAGCATAAGTTAATGAAGAATTAAAGCTAACAACTGAGCCCTGGCCGGTTTGGCTCAGCGGTTAGAGAGTCGGCCTGCAGTCCAGAGAGTCCCGGGTTTGGTAGCTGCTAAGGGCACGTACCTCGGTTGCAGTTTGTCCCCGGCCCTGGTTGGGTCATACGGGTGGCAGCCACTTGATGTGTCCCTTTCACGTTGATGTTTCTCTCTCTCTCTCTCTCTGCCTCCCACTCTATCTGAACAAAAAATGGAAAAAAATGTCCTCGGGTGAGGATTAAAAAAAAAAGCTAACAACTGAACACAATGGAGGCCAGAAGGTAAATATATATCTAGGGCCAGATAGATGTTGGAGGCCTCATAAAGCCATAACATAATTTGCCTACCCTTCTGCCAGTTAAAAATTTTCAGTGATAACTGGGAACCTATCCTCAGTAAACAGCTAAGCTGCAGGAAGAAAACAGGGGAAGAGGGAAGAAAAATCCCCAAAATGCCTTATTTTCAACTGTTTATTTTCAAAGCTCCCTCTTTTGACCAATAACCAGGGACGAATGACATATAGTTCTGTCTGAACCTGGAAAAAGAAAAAGTTGGTGAAAAGATTAGTGCTAACCACCTGAATAGTGAGTTCATTTGCCACTCAAATAATAGGTATCATATTTTATTACTGATAATAGAATAAATTGTAAGTGCTCAATATATTTAGAAAATTTATAGGAATAACTTAAAAACTTATTTGAACTTTCTTGTATCGTATCAAATAACTTGCTGCTATAAAACCTATAAGAATACAGCTAAATCACTTTGTAATATGAGACAATTGAAGTAGAACATGGAAGTTCACAAGAAGTTCTCAAGAACATACTTACAAATGTCAGATTGAACCAAAATGGGAAGAATAGACAATAACATTAGAAAAACTAAACAAGCTCAAAGGCTACCTTTTCTTTTTCAAAGTCAGCTTGGAATGTTGTAATCAAATGAATTTAATTTTGCTTTCAATTTTTTGCAAGCTGTTTAGTCGTGAGATCAAGTACATGTGAAAGTACATAGCATTTGGAGCTAATTTTTTTCCTATGCCTATCCTAGTATTCTTCTACTATGGTTAAAAGCCATAAAACATTACAAGTCCATGGTAAGGAGCTCATCCACCCTGAGATCACCTGCTTCCCGATCATTTTACAGCACATGCAAAAAAAGCTATTATTTGTAAGGTCCACTGAGATAACTAGAGAAGGCTGCTGGTGGCTAGCCAGTCAGGATCCCAGTCATCACAGGCCTGTCTGATTACCTTGAGGACTAAATGGATCAATATTTTCTCACACTTATAAGCTATTCATGGCACACCAATTGGGAAACTGCTACACATCGTTCCTTCCCATTCCTTCCGGAGCCTCTGACACTTTTAAGCATAGTCTCCTATATTTGCCAATATATCATCAAATCCTACAAGCTGTAAAAATTGTAACCCAGATAAATGAGGCTTGCTTACCTTTCACTGAAAAGCAAGAGAAAGGGCCAAAATTTAAGGGGACAAAGGAAGAAAGTTTAGGTGGCACAAACTTAGCCCCATCTCCATAAAAAACCCACCCTACCTGGGGCTTAGTGTTTCTGCTATATTCCTTTAGGCTTACATCATGCATTCAGGGCCTTACTCTCACTTTTTCAAATGAAAATGGTATTTGAAACTTCTGCTTAGAAAGAAATACTTAAAAAGAAAACAATACATTGGATGAACATTCCAGGCTACAGTGACAACCACAGAAAGAAATTTGACAGGTAAATAAATAATCCAGAATACTTACCAATCTTTTTGGGATATGTTCCTATTATAAATATGCCCAGGAATATCTTTATAGGGAGGACAAATACATTTACACCGAACATCCCCGGAATTCTGTAACCAAAATGGAAACGCAGTATATAGCTTGTTGACAGTTTATCATCAATATTTTTTAAAAACTGCAGCATATACATGTTGTTAAGCACCCCCTGCCAAATATTCTAAAACCATTTACTTAAAACTTTAAATAACTTTGGGAGATACAAGTTTTTAAAAGCCACAAGTTCTTTTTGACAATGCTAACAAATCATTAAATATTACATAAAATCATTTTGAGATAATACTTAGTACATGATCTGTAACTTATTAATCACATTTATGGGTCAGATAACAATCAAATTGTGCTAATGTTATATTACCATCTACTTGTCAGTAGAAAGATATAGTGTGCCTGCAAATAAGAATGCTGATTATAAAAGGATGGGGAGGAATCAAACTAAAACTTACTCAAAAAATAAATCTTAATTCTTCTATCTACTATTCTTCCATGCTTGGTAGAAAGGCATTAATTGAGATGGATAAAAGAGGTTAAGCTAGAGTCCTATATTGAAGAGATGATATTTTAGAGGCACTCAGCTACTATTAGAAAAAAAGTACATAAGGGAAGTAGCTTGAGTCTAACTGGGATCAGTTTGGTCTACCCTTCGCAGGAAACTTGGCTTCTAATCCCTGATAGACAGAGAGGACAACTGTGGATAAAGCAAATTTCAAGAGGTGGAGTAAGAGATGACTAATATATGAATAGAGGGAGTAGGAGATGCTCCCTCAGCAAAGGAGAATCTACCTGAGAAGACAGTGGCTTGTTAGTCCCAGAGGACCAGGCCCATTGCTCTTCTATATGGTATATATGGCTGAGTTGTTGACAATTCATTCACTCATTCAGCAATCATTTAGTGAGCATTTGCTTAGTGCCAGACCTTGTGTTCAATGAAATGGATTCAGATAAGTATCCTGCCTGTAATTAGGATGCGCCCTAGCAAAGCAGACTGACAAATACATGATTACAATACCCTACCTAAAGTGATGACAAGAGATATGCAGAGGGTGCCAGCAATGTTTTGAAACTCAGGAGACTTGCTGCTGTTTCTGTGTCTGGTGGGAGGTAGGAAAGATTTCAAAAAGAATCCCTGATCAAGATCCCCAATCAAAACTCCGACCTGTCTGCCTGTAATGTCTTTCCCAGACTCTATATTTAAAGATATAGATTAAAGCTCCTACTTTTTAAAAAATGCAAATGTCATTCTGTTTTCTTATCACATTAATGTAAATTCCTTCTGTTTTCCCCAATAACGAGCTAGCTCATCAAGGAGGAAGTACAAGTGTGTATGGGGCCAGGGCAAGTCTGGGCGTAGGGGCAGAAGGGGGCTAGAAAAGAACCTGAGGGGACCTGAAAGGCCAAGAAATGGAGCAGGGGAGAGGGCCACAACCTCATCACTCCTGTAGTTTGGATGCTCCCTTATCCATTGTATTATCAGTTACAGAGATGGCAAGAAAGGGGTCAAGGGGCCCTGGAAGGATTTAGGTGAGGATATTAGGCTGGTGATGACCCTGTAAGTCCTATTGGGAAGGATGGATGCCAGAAGAGGTAAGTTCCCGCAAATGTAAGGGAATCTGCTGAGAGAAGAGCTGAGATGACTTAGTTCCTAAGATGGAAGACTTCTGAGAGCCAGGGGCTTTCCATCATTTTGGCTTGGGGCATGGGGGCGGAGTGGTGGCCCGTGAGGCTGGTGGAGGGTGTGGGTAGACTGTCAGTTCCAGGGTGGAGAGTTAAAGGCTCCCAGAATTGCAAAGGTTATAAAGTTTGGGACCGGTGCTGTCGGGGCTGCGAAGGGGAATGCCGAGGAGGCGGGGAGCTGCTATCCGGCTGTGGGCACTGTCAGGCTGGGTGGAGGTGGGGGCCTGGCGGGCCATCAGGGCGGGAAAGACGAGAGCACAGTGAGAGCTGGGTGGGAGTGGAGGCGGTGACGTGTGGTCAAGCTGTCAGGGGCGGAGGGCGGCAGTGCTATCAGGCCGGCGGAGGTGATGGGCGGGGGCCGCCAGGGCCGTGAAGCTAGCAGTCGGCCGTCAGCGCCGGGAGAGGCGCGGGGTGAGGAGCAGGCAGCGACCCCGCCGGGCGGGAGGCAGGGGAGGAGCCCCAGTCTGGAGCGCAGGCTGGGCGGGACTCACCTTGGCGGCGTCTGACATCTGCACCAGCAGCAGCACGGACAGCGCCAGGCAGGACAGGCTGAGCAAGGAGCCAAGCCGAAGGAGGCCTCCCCACAGAGTCGCCATCGCTGCCAGGCCCAGCGGCGCCCACCGGCCGGGGCCCCGAGACCTGCTCCGGCTCCGGCTCCTCCGCCCGCACTTCCGTCTGGGCCCGCGTCACCGGCCGCGCCGGGTCAGCCCCGAAAAGCATCCGCCCCGGAAACTGTTCCCGGTGCGAAGGGCCCGAGGCTGCGCGGCGCCGGCCGGGCCTGCACACGGCCCGGGAGCGAAGGGGGTGTCTTTGCGGGTCGCCTCGGCCCGGCAAAGCGTTGAGACGCTAGGATCGCTTTCCCGGCGCAGAGCAGCGGGGGCCGGGACGTCCTCCCGCCCAGGAGACACCGCCCCCCGAGCCGGGGTGTCGGAGGGAGGCCTCCAGCGACCCCCGCGAGGCCGGAGCGAGCTTGGGCCGCAGGACTGCAGAGAGGGGTCTGTCCGGCGGCGGCAGGCGGGGCGGCTGCTGGCACGGAGACGCGGATGGGGCTGGCCGAGCCGTTCCTTCCGGGGAAGCGCACCCCACTCAGACGGTCGGGGTCGTGTCGGGACTCCGGGTACTGACTTGCCGCCCGCGCGCTTCCGGACGCCGTTCCCCGCAAGGTGTCTGACAGCCTGTGAGCTGCCTTCGCGGCGGTGGCCTCTGCTGGGGACCCCCGCTTGCCTCCTGCCGGGGCTGAATGCCTAGGTCCAGCCTGCTGCCAGGAAGGGCCACAGGGCAGCGCTGGGCTGGGCCAGGTCGGGCTCCGCAAGGTGCGAAGTTGGAGAAAGAACAGCCCTAGCAGCCTACTTTGCCCAGCACTCCAGGTGAGGGATGGAGACGCTTCTGTCCTCCAGGGCTGCTGGCCCCTAAGTCAGTGGGGAGCGCTGACCCGTCTTTCCAGTGCGGGTCGTCCTCCGCAGGTAATTTAGGACCCGGGAGATGGCACAGTGTCCCCAATGTAAATATTTTCAGTTAGTGGAGACAGTAGTGTATTAAAGGATACCGGGCTCATCACAACCACTACGTATTTGCTGAATGACTTTGGGCAAAACTTCCCTTTCCTGAGCCTCTGGTTGTTGGGTCAATATGAGATTGAAGTCTTTATAGATTTCAAATTCTGCCCCCATGGAATACCGATGTTTTTTTCATAAACATTTTTAAAAAGTGATCTCCTGTTTGTTGAAATGTTTTAATAGGACATTTTAATAATATTTTTTCTTTGATTCTTCCTAGACTCTAACACAAAGACATGTCTGATATTGCACAACTTTGAATAATTATAAAGCCACTGTTTATTAAAATACATTTCACTTTCAAAATGTAATAGAATCTACAGACACCCTCTATACATTTTTTTGGAACACCCTGTATTTAGCCCCTTTAAGTCCCAAGTGGCAAGTGGTGCCCAGTCCCAACCAGAACCAGAGAGGCAGAACTAGATGACCTTTCACCAAGACCCCTCAAGGCTGCCCTATGAAGATGCTGTCATATTAGCGAAATATCAATCCTTTGTAGTGAGTGTACTGCTGGCCAGAGGACAATCTGGAGACATTTGAGGTCAAATATGTCTGACTGTGAGGCACTAAGGATCTGTGATTGCTAAAAGCTGACTCATCAGCAACTTTGGGATCAATTTAGGGTTAGTTGTCTAGGTCTGGCATCTAAAGGGAGTATCTACTCTGGCTGAAACCTGATAGGACCTCTCTTTATTCTTCAAAACTGTTCTCAGGGTCTTGGTAGGGTAGGGGTACAGAGGCTTGGAGGAAATATATATAATAATGCCTCAGTCTGACAGGCCTCCTCTGTTTAATGCAGAACCACCAAGCATACTGGCAGAACTTTATTTTTTTTATTTTATTTTATTTTTTTATCCTCACCTGAGGATATTTTTCCATATTTTGTACAGATAGAGCGAGAGGGAGAAAGAGGAAGAGAGAGAGAGAGAAACATCGACGTGAAGGGACACATCGAGTGGCTGCCACCCGCACGACCAACCAGGGCCGGGGACAAACTGCAACCGAGGTACGTGCCCTTAGCGGGAACCGAACCCGGGTCTCTCCGGACCGCAGGCCGACGCTCTAACCGCTGAGCCAAACCGGCCAGGGCATACTGGCAGAACTTTAAAGTTAACTGTCTGATTCAGTAGCTATTCATCGCGTGTGGCAATTAAGCACTTGAAATGTGGCTGGTTTGAATTGAGATATGCTGTAAGTGTAAAGTATACATGGATTTCAAATACTTAATACAAAAAAACTCAATGTTTTTATATTTCTAAAGGTTGAAATATTTTGGATACATTAAATATATTAAAATAATTTCACTTCTTAGCTGTGGCTATTAGAAAATTTAATATTTATATTAGGCATCACTGTTCTAGAATATAGAATGTGGCTGCCATGAGTGGAGTGTGACCATAAGGTGGTTGCCTGTCTGGAGACCGAAGGAGAAGCCTGGTAAGGAGAGGGGTGACAGGCAGGAACTTGCACAGCTGGAGCCAAGGATTTGGGAGTGGTACATCTCAAAAAAGTGAAATATATATATATATATATATATATATATATATATATATATATAATTTTGTTGTTAATCCTCACCTGAGGATATTTTTCCATTGATTTTTAGAGAGAGTGGGAGGGACAGGAGGGAGAGAGAGAGAAAGAGACATTGATGTGAGACATTGATTGGTTGCCTCCCACCCGACCCCGGGGGCCAGAGATTGAATTTACAACCCAGGTAGGTGTCCTTGACTGGAAATTGAACCTGAGACCCTTTGGTCCATGGGCTGACATTCTAACCACTGTGCCAAACCAGCCAGGGCAAAAATGTGAATGTAATTTCAGGTGATGCAACAGGAGTAGAGGGGTCAGTTCCTCTTGTTCTGCCCTACTCATATCTAGGTAACTTACTTTTCCCTTAGGTCAGAGTCTTCTGTGTTTGTACAGATCTCTTTCCTAATTTATCCCATTATAGTAAAATTATGTTTTCATATCTGCCTCTATATTTCCAGCCTTCACCAAAACATTTTGAGCTCTTTGAGGACAGGAAACTTTTCTGTTATCTTTGTGCCAGGAGACTGGGATATAGTAAAAACCAATAAATGTTTGTGGGGACCCAGAAAAGGGGAATGGGAGAGGCTCCTCAAGTCAGTCTCAAAGAATCAGGTACCTACTTGAATCTCTACTTGATTCCTTTCTGACCACGAGAGGGTGAAGCAGAGATGCCCAAAGAAATACAGCTGGGATCTGGGGCACCATAATAGGCAGGAGAGGGGAGATTTCTGACCTAGGTTCTTCCTAGACCTTCACCTAACATCAGAGTTGTTCTATTTATTGGCAAGACAGGCTAAGCCTAGTCAGTGCCCACTCTTTCCCCCTCCCTTTTTCCTTGCTTCCCAGGTTCCCCTATTTCATTCCTTTTAAGGAGTGGCATAGGCCTGGCTGGGCCCCCTCGCTTCTTTGTGAAGCCTGAAAAATTCCCTGGTGGGGGATGGTCAGGACAGTAAACAGAACCTTCTTTATATTTAAGTGTGCAAGTCAGAAGGTAGGAAGCAGAAGTGATAATTTATGTATCTGGGACCAAGGTTTTGCCAGCTCTTTCTACAGCCTCCGACCCCCCTTTCCCCTCCAGTTATCAAATAGCTCTCTGAATACCTCTTTCTTATTTCTCTACCCCATCCTTTCTGACCTACCCAGCACTTTCCCAGGCTACAGCAGTGCAGAACAGATGGAGTCATGCAAAGCATCAATGATGGTTTACTTGGACTGTACCTCTAGTGGTTATGGCAGGACACACACACACACACACAGAGTTCTTCCAGTTATTTCTCAGCATATCCAGTAATATCCTCTATGATGAGCCCTCTCCTTTACCATTTGCATCACCAGGATGCTCCATTCTACTTGGTCCCTTTTTTTAATTTATTTTTATTTATTTTTTTATCCTCACCCGAGGATATTTTTCCATTTTTTGTACAGATAGAATGGGAGGGAGAGAGAGTGAGAAACATCGACGTGAAGGGACACATCGAGTGGCTGCCACCCGCACGACCAACCAGGGCCAGGGCCGGGGACAAACTGCAACCGAAGTACGTGCCCTTAGCGGGAACCAAACCCGGGTCTCTCCGGACCGCAGGCCGACGCTCTAACCGCTGAGCCAAACTGACCAGGGCTACTTGGTCCCTTTAATTAGATATTCTGTCCTCTGCTGCCTGTGAAGCTACAGATGTGTGCCATGCTGTCACTTGCTAGTGCTCACCATAATGACAACAGTGTTTGAGGTCAGAATATTATCTCTGTTCCTAGGGATTTTGGTGTCCCTATTGCTGACAAGTTACTGTAGTTGCTAGAATAACAAAGCAACACAAATTTAGTACCTAACCAGAGAGAATTTTTAGTTTCTTTCAGAGAAGTACCAAATCAGTATTGTTGGTTGTCCAGGTTTAAGGAAATACTTAAGAAAAACAGTCCACCCGCCCCCTTCCGTGGAACGGAGAGAACCCGGCTGCTGAAGCTCAGGCCAATCAGAGGGAAGGCTCCAGGATGGCATGGTGATGGAACGCAGTGGAAAGGTCTGACAAGATGTACCAGGTCCCACTGCCACTGGACCAGGATGGGACCCTGGTCCGGCTCCGCCTCACCATGGTGGCCCTGGTCACAGTCTGCTGTCCACTTGTCGCCTTCCTCTTCTGCATCCTCTGGTCCCTGCTCTTCCACTTCAAGGAGACTACGGCTACACACTGTGGGGTGCCCAATTACCTGCCTTCCGTGAGCTCGGCCATCGGTGGGGAGGTGCCCCAGCGCTATGTGTGGCGCTTCTGCATCGGCCTGCACTCTGCACCACGCTTCTTGGTGGCCTTCGCCTACTGGAACCACTACCTCAGCTGCACCTCTCCATGTCCTAGCTACCAACTGCTTTGCCGCCTCAACTTCAGCCTCAACGTCATCGAGAACCTCGCACTGCTATTGCTCACCTACGTCTCCTCTTCTGAGGACTTCACCATCCATGAAAATGCTTTCATTGTGTTCATCGCAGCATCCCTCAGTCACATGCTC